GACCAGTGAACAAGACTAACAGGATTCCAGGATACATCATTAGGTATTTTTTCAGTGCCATTCTTTCCCTCATTAGCATTTTTTTAGTTGGAGTTTTTTTCATTTTTGCATTCATCATAGCAACCCATATTGTAAGTTATTGACTCCTGTGATGACAAGATACCTGGTGCCTGTCACCTTGTAACTCGGCTGTTTAGAGTATCAGCTATATTGGGAAACTAGTTGATCAACAAAGAAACCCCAAACCAAAAACAAAACAAAATCACCAAAAAACAAAAAAACAAAGGCTTGATTGCATGTTGAAGGTCCTACAATATTACTTCTCTCCAATCTAAACTGTTTTGGGAATTTGACTAGGACAAGCAGTAAATAAATTGGCCAGTAGACTAAGTAACAGCAGGAGATTTTATGAGTTTCATATATTGATTAGCACATTGCCTCTTACATTGATTGCATGCTTCTCACTATAAAAATTACAGTAGCTCCCAATGTTCAGGATGGTCTTCACTTTTGATGTGCAAGCAGACAAATATAATAAATATCTACAAATACTCTACTTAAACAGTTGGAGTTCTGTTTGATAACCAAATTTAGTAAATATTTTTCTGATGTACTTTCTGACATAATTTATAGTTTTCTATTCAGTATTATATTTGTAGAACTTTGTATAGGGAAAGCTCTGGAGATAGCAAAACTGGCATGATAAAGAACTTTATAATCTCATTAAGGAAGTGTTGCTAGGAGAGGCTAGTGAGATCACAAGAATACCATTGTAGAAGCTCTTACACACTGTCAATGCATAAATTAATTGTAGTGTGTAAAGAAGAAAAGGAAAATGTGTACATTTCATTTATAATGTGTAAATATCTTCATTTTTCATGCCATTTTCAATCTCTTCTAAGCTTGGAAAGATAAACTTCTAATAAGCAACTGGGATTTCTTATTTGCTCATTGAGAAATAAATTATTTATGGATTGAAACATCAGGATGGACAATCACACCTAGATATATTTTCTGAAGCTTCTGATGAAAAAAGTAGGAATAATTACAAAAAAAGTTTAATGGTGGATTTGTTAGCATCATGTGTTGCTTAGATTTAGGTTTTAGTTTTTACAGAAAAAGATGTCTCAACAGGTATCATGAGGATTTCTTGGACAATAGAAACTAGCAAAAATCCCCAAAATTTTATAGAAGCATTCCCTTTGCTTTTAGTAATTCTTCAACTGAGGGAATTAGCATTGTAAATAATCTACATAAAAAGCTTGAGATAATATAAATAAATCAGTATATGTCTGAATCTAAATATTTCCATATCTTTCAGGAATAAGTCATTTATACAACAGACAATTGTACTGGTTTTGCATTGGAGCCACCCACAGAAGTGATTTTTTTCTGAGAAGAGTTGCTGAGAATCTCCTCTGTGCCTAGCAGAACCAAGTGCTGGCTACCTTTGAGAATAGGCATGCTAATAGCCAATTAACATGATCCACCTCTGTAAGATTCACATTTTAAAACTAACAAACACCGGGAACACTCTCTTTTGAAAACCTCTGTTCCCAGAGATGAAGATTATCTCATAGATAGATAAAGAGAACCTTTGCTCTTGGACAGTTCATCCTTGAAATGGTACCCCGTATGACATAGCCCATAAACGTAGCTGTGGTAAGGCTGGGAAAAGATGGGAGGGACTTCACAATTGTAGATTCCCGGGTGGCTGCTATTCATGCAAATTAAAAGCCATGATAAAACTGTTTTCTTGTAGAGAACTCTCCATAAAATGACAAGAGGGACTCCTCTCACTTAGTGAACTGAAGAAAGACTGTTCTAGAGGTGATAAACTGACTGAATTGTTTCTGTACATTGGTAGTGGGAAAGAAAGGATTGTAGGGGGAGAAGTGTTCTGAAGGTTTTATTCTGATTCTTATTATTCTTTTAGGTCTGTAATAAACTTTTCTTTATACTCTTTAAGTTTTGAGCCTGCTTTGCCTTCCTCCTAATCCTATCTCATAGCAAGAAATTAGTAAGTGGATTAGTAGTGGATGCACTAGCGTTTAGCCAGCCTTAGACCCACAACATTAATTGGTGCATTGGCCAGGAAATCTGAAATTGGCCAACCAAAACCATAACAACTTAACAGATGCTATTATATTAGTATATAAACAATATGTAGAAGATATTTGCACTATGTTTAGGAAGATTTATTACTATATGATTTTTTATAATTTTTTTTTCAAAAAGTAAAAACTTTTGTTGTACTGAATATGTGAGTACAGATAATTGCTGGGCATGTGCTCTGGCTGGCAGTGTACTTACAACAGATTATAACATATGTCCAAATTACACTGTCTGGGCTAAAATGGCCCAAATAATGACGCTTTTCTTTAGGCTAGACTTTCAGGTGCTTTTACCAGATTTACAATGATACAGAAATTACATGGTTTAGTATAAATCCAGTTAATCTCCCTTGCTCAGTTGAACATGTTCCTAGTTGTTGTCTCATTTTTTCTTGATAAAAGGCATGAGGCCCAGCATAGAAACCTACAGTAAAAGTGTTCCTTTCTGTGGTCGTTGGCATTCTCACTGCACGTATTGCTTCAAAGTTGATGATGTCTTCTCTATAATTTTCTTAGTGTCTTCCAATCATGCCACTGGATTTACTGGTCTTTTCTTAATGACCAGTAAATGCAGTGATTTCTCTTTATCTGAGAATGGGGTAGCCATTTCGTGGGTCTGAGGCTGAAAGGAGGCTTCCCTTAGTAGCTTTGTCCCTTAACATTTTCCATCCACAGGGTTCTGCATAGCAATTTGTCCTGAGAGAATATGGTCATGGCCATGATGAGAATGGTCATGGTCATGACAATATTGTTGTGACAGTATGGTCATGGCCATGTCGTTGTAGGTGGGACTAGACTCACTCTCATTTTTTTAAAAAGACTCATCAAACAGAACAAAGCAGAAGGATGTAGACGGTTTTCAGGTAATACAGCAAAGTAAAATTTATTTTTTAATACGGAAGAAGTGGTTATCTAGTTTTGAATAATGGGGAGAACAGCAACATTGGTTTCTTTGACTCTCTAGCTTTTGGGACTAAATAATGATGCTGTAGAAGGAAGAGAATGACATGGTGATGCTGTCCAAGTACTGAAGAGAAGAAGGGACATAAGTGAACAAAATTATTTCCTGTAAATTATCTGAGCCCTAGCGCCCAAATAATGACTTTAAGAAGGTCAGGGTTTTATTACAATGAGGTTCGTGATAAGGTATGCTGCAACAAAAAGACTTTGTAATGATGAATTAAATTTGAATGTACAGCCTTGCTATCAAAAACAGTACAGACTATAGGATTATAGTCTATAAGGAGTCTGTAATTAGTAGGCAGGTGGTTTTTTCAGTAACTGGCCTTTTTTCTCTAGCTTCTTACTTCTTCATGTGTACAATAATGGTTTGCAAGTGTAGATTTTTGGGGAAGGTAGCAAGAGGAACAGCTGGTTTTTTAATGCCAGCATTGCCACCTAATGAATTTTCCACTGAGCAAGTTTAACCATAATTTTTAATTTGAACATATTCTTTATTAATGTGTAAAGGTGCAAAATATTTTCATTGTTCTTACTCTTTAGCACAGTTAGTATAAAGAAAAAAAGGCAGCCTTTTCTTCCTTGGTAGAATGTTGATTAAATGAGGGTGGATGTCATATGGTTGAATGATTTGGAATGAATCAAATTGTGTGGGTTGACAGCTCAATGACAGAGGTGATGGAGAAATTCAAGTATACTTGATAAATCTTTTGCTGGTTTTGTAAGCAGTCACCTGGGTTTGGTTGGGATAGAGTTAATTTTTTTCTCAGTAGTGTTTTGGATTTAGAATGAGGATAATGTTGATTAACACACTGGTGTTTCAGTTGTTGCTAGGTAGTACATACCGTAAATCAAGGACTTTTCAGCTTCCTCTGCTTTGCCAGTGAGGAAGTGCGTAAGAAGCCATGAGGGAGCAAAGCCAGGAGGGGTGGTCCAAACTGGCTAAAGGGATATTCCATGCCATAAACTCATGGCGGGGAGTTGGGTGGGAGGTGCTCATACAGCTTGAGGACAGGCTGAAAGTCAGTCAGCAGGTGGTGAGCCGTATGGAATTGTCTGTCAGTTTTCTGTCTTCGGGTTTATTTGTCTCTTTTTTTTTTTTTTTTTTTTTTTTTTTTTTTTTTGTTACAGTTGTTTTTGTTTTCATTATTATTACAGTATTTTAACTTTATTATGGTTTATCAAATTTTTCCCAGCTTTTTTAGTCAACCCACTGTATGGTGGGGTGGGATTGTGGAACTGCATGTTACTTAGTCTAGGATTAAACTATTGACAGCGTGATATTGTCTATGTTTATGAATTGCAACCCAGAGGAAAAGAAAAAATCATATTGCTCTTCATGTCTACAGTGCTCAGCATTGTATTTTACTATATTCAGAGTCTAAGTTTAAGGAACAACTGTTTTCTGACAACAAATACTATTCATATTTTCTCTTTTGTGAGTATTATTATAATTATTTTAACTGTATATGTTAGTTGTACTATATTCATCTTGTTCCTGAGAATTTAACTGCATTCAAGGACAATACTGTCTTTTTTGGTGATCTTTATTAGGTAATAACATACAGGAATCATTAGCCCAAATGTAATTGAAGCCTGAAACTGTGATAGCTGAGAAAGTGTTTTGTGGTTTTAGTGATATGAAGACTGTCTTCAGTTCGAAAGTAAAAGATGTTTAGAACACTTCTTTTTCATTAAGAATGTGAGTCAAACTCTGAATACTTGACTAGGAAAACAACTTCCTGCTAAGCCAGTGATATCACAAATCTACCATGTTTGCTAAGCTGTTGGGTTACACTAGGCCACTGTAACAATTCTGAGTGTTAAATATGTTTCATTAAATATTTCATCTTTTCATTTAGTGCTGGGGGAAAAAACTGAAAGTTTACATACACCAAATTCAGTTTCCTTTTTTTTGTCTGACAGGGAAATTCTGTCTTACCCCTTGACAATCTGACAATCTTTGTCAATTTAAATGGTTCAAGTAAGAAATATGAGGAAATGTGAATGAGGGCTACACTCACAAAGCTAATGGCAAAGAAGTAATCTTCCTTCTCTCTGAAGTATGTAACTCTGGGTATAAATCAGCAAAAGTACGTGACAAAGTTGTTATCTTTTCCTCCGGACGTGTGAATTTAATCCTTTAACCTGAATTAGTGTCCTAGCTACCAACAGGTAAGTATTTTAAGATACCATTTTTAGATACTGCTGCTTTATCTTCCCTAATAAATAAAGCTAGGAAAACTCAGTAAGTCAGTGAACCTCAGCATTAGATTGCAGCATTTTTAATGTTTTATAAAAATTAAAAAAGTTTCACAAAAATGAATATGAAAGACCCAAATCAGAATATATATAATATTTTAGTGACTAGAAAACTTGTCAGATGGGGAACTTCTGCTGAGTTCACTTTCTGTTTCATTTACAAACAAATATTAGAGTCCAGATTTCACAGGGGATGTAAATAATGTGATTTCAAAGACACTGTTGAAGTTAAACACATTTACCCCAGTAAAAAAAAAGTGCAAAAAAAAAGAATTAAGTGCAACTATAGAAAGTTGTTTCAAAATACCATTATTTTTTGAACTCCTGCTTACATGAAAACTGAAATGATAATTCAAAATTATATTTTGTTTATTAACTTGCCTATTTAACATAATATTTTTTATAATTTTGCCCTTCTTTTCTTTTTGACAGCACCTTCAGGCTTGAAGGAGTATCTATATATATGGAGGTACGTCAATTAATTTGCATATCAGATTCATCATTGTGACTTCTTGCAGGCCAGATCTGAGAAGTAACCAGGAAACCTGACCCTTAGTGGAGAATGGAAGAACCCTTGAAGTCAGAGCACAACTGAGCACTAGTGTAATCTGCATTGAATCATCTTTCTCAGATCTGACAGCTACAAGCTGAGTCCTGGCAAAAGCCACAGCCTTAAATTCCATTCAGTGGGAAGGAAGGATAAGAGAACTAAATGTTTTGCCCCATTGCAGAAACTGCTGTCTCCAAGCCTGACACCTGAGTTCTGTGCTGAGCAGCCAAACAAGGAGTTTTTTATGGGTACAGCCAACATCAACAAAGATTTCAATATGTAGCGAAAAGGAGAAAGGAAGCACTTAGTAATTTCAGAAAATGGATGCATTTATTGTAACAGAGGAATGTTTCTGTCTGTGGGGAAGAAGACCTCTGTCATCCCTTGTATATATCCAAAGCCATACAGGAACAGGGCATAAGTGAAGTTAAGTCACTTAAAAAGCTGTCTCCTGTCCTCCACCCAACTTTGAGGAAGTTCTGCTCTTAGAGATTGCATCTCGATGCACTTCAATTATTTGCACTGTCACTTCCATTCAGGGTAATGATGTGTGCCACCATTTGCACAGATGGCCCCAGGAAATTTTTGACCACAACAAGCTATACTTTGCCAGGGCTTCAAATGGAATTTAAAATTAGAACTGAAGAAAGACATTTATGCTCTCTTTCACTATGGGGATCTCTTCACAGAAAGGATTACAGTCCTTTCTTAGGATGAAATAAATACATGCATATACATGCATATACATACATATATACATATGTATATATATGAAAAAGCAGCAACATGATAAGGTGTATTTAAAAAGGGGATATAATCTTTTTTAATAGCATCCATTTTTTTATCATATTAGCATCTGAGAAATTTAATCTATTGAATTATACATCAAAAAATGTTCCTGTTGAACATTGACATTTAGTCCCATTTACTGCTAAAGAAGTAATTTGTAATATGTAATTGACATAACATTTTTCTAGCCATTTGTCTCTACTTCATGGAAAAATCTAATAGACAAGCAACATTTTCAGTTTATTTTTCTAAATAAATGTGTTGTTTGTATTGTTTGCAGTCACTCATTTTGGCTGGTTTTCATGATATCCAAAAGTGATTTAAAGACAGAACCAAAACACAGGGATTGTTTGTTCTTGTTAAGCTGTAATGATTTGCTGAATGAAAGCTTTAATATAAATGCTGTAATTTGTAAAATGATGAAGTATATTTATATAGGCAAATATGTATGGAAAACAAAAGGAGGTATTTTAACTCTTTATTTTAATATCCACAGGAAGATATTAAATATATTATGGGTAGGGTTTTTATTATCAGTGAATTTTAGTAAGTGAAAATTTGGATGTGTAAGAATGAAATGAATGTAATCAAATAATGGTGGTTTCCCCAATTATACAGAGATTTTTGCCAGCTGTCTCATTTTACTCAAAAACTGGTTTAGTCATTTGGGGAGTTAGGTTTTTATGGGGTGTGTATGTGCCAAGGTCTTTGTTTGGTGTTTTTTTTTTGTTTTGGCATACTGACAAGATCAAGAATTTGATAGTATTTGCTCATAATTTGAAAAGCTACAGAATAAAAGATTGTTTCTTAGAACAATCTACAGTTTGCAGTTAAGAACAGTCATTGTTATCCAGCTAATGCAGTGTTTTGTTGTAGAGTTATTGAACATTTCAATGCTAGAGCTGTTTTTAATAAAATTTGTTTTTCCTTTTTTTCTTAGTCCATTAGCCTATGTGTAGTTCGAAGAGAAAAGTAGTGTGTTTGGTTCCAAATTCACTTAAATAATTTGTTTTAAGTTCAGTTATGTATCTGATTTTTAAAGCTGAATAGCTTTTCTTCCAGTTCATTGCTTTATGGAAGCATTTAAGTGCTCACTAACAGAAAAAAATAGCTTTCAACAACAAAAATTAATTTAAAAAGATCTGTGGGTTAACTTTGTGAAGGGCAGATATCTTAAAAATGTGTTGCTCTGCTCTAATGTGCTAACAAGTGTTAGTGCGTGTATGTTTGTGTGTGTGTGTGCACACATAGCACCCTCACCTGCTCATGAATGAAATGCCAGCTCTGCTGAACTAAGTGCCACAAGTCCTGTTACTGCAAAAGATATTCATGTTACTGTATTTTTGGTGAAAGACCTGACCTGTGTCTTTGCTTGTGATCTGAAGCCATAAACAGCTTTTGAAGTTTGTCTGGAAACTGGAAAATTAAGGAAGTTTATGTTAGGCTCCCTCATTTGGCAAAAATTTGGATGATCTTATGATTTGATCTTTTTATGAAAGTTAGTGGTCAATTTCCTTTGGTGGAATGGATAAATGAAACCTTTATATTTGTTAAAGAATGATGTCTGTGTTTTGTTCACACACAATTTAGCTTTTGGCTGATAGTGTTCTTACTGTGATGTTATTTCTGTGTCATTAGAATATGTTATTTGGACATATAACTGGCATGGGCTTGGTTTTCCTCCCTTTTTGGATAATCTATATTTTAAAATTGGAGAGCTTCTTCTTTGAGACAAGTATTCAGTTGTTAAAAAAGGGGACAACATTATTGAAACAATAAGAAAATTTCAGAATGCTAATTTGAACACTTCCATCATTGGCTAATAATAACACTTGAAAAAGCTCTTATTTATGTGAACAAAATGCATTCATCTGTATTTGAAAATAGCCCAATAAAAATTCAGTGGAATAGTTTGTTACTTCTTGCAAATACTTTTCTGCTATGCTGAGTTCTAGATCAGCTTGTGTGTAAAATTTTATGGCACAAAACCCACCTAAAACAATGCACAGTTTTCTTCAGAAAAATACATGAGATACAAAAAATAATGATGTGGTCCCAGGAGTGGTTTTATATAATGTGTGTACAATGCAAAAATTATGAACATATACCAACATGTAGGCCTAATTAAACTGACAAATATAATTGGAAGATAATACTGCAAACCACAGGTCTCATTAATCATATGTGCACCTCTGCTTAAGCAGGACTTCATGCTGGAAAATAAATTTCGGTGTACATGCACAGTCATACAGTGTCATACATCATGTCTTATTTTACTCGCAGTGTCATTGGGAGAAATTCAAGATTGCTTGATTTTCATAGATTTAAATTAAATTCTTAGATAAGTATTCAATATTGGATATAAATTGAGATGATGTCTGTATATTGTGCAGATATTCCCAGGAGATAGCATTTCAACACAGAATTTCAGAAATTATTGGCAAGTTATTGGAAAGTAATTATTACTGAAATGCTTTTTCGTAGTTTAAAACCAGAGGAGACAATTAGATTATCTTATTGAACAGCAAAAAATGGTGGTATTTCTGTTAAGTTCATCCAAGCATACTAACAAGACCAGCAGAACTTTTGCAACTAAGATGACTTTACAGCAACTGATGGGTCCTTTTGTACATTTATGTGTCATACATATAAGAAATGCGTATAGAAATAGTTCTAGAGTAATAGTTTCTGTAGTAATAGTAATAGTAAATGCCATTAGTTAGCATTTGAAAAGCCACCTAAAGCAGCCAATAGGCTTGAAAGAATGAGGTGTGCAAAATAAAATGCTGACAGTTCTAGATGTGTCTACAAAAAAGAATTTCAGCACTTGAATTTTTTAAAAAACAAGGATCACCATCATTCATGAGAAAAATTGGGATTTGTTAAAATAGATCTTTTGTGGACTGGAAGAAAAAAGATTACAAAAAACTGGTGCTCACCAGGATGATATAAAAGTGTCCCTCTCCTGACAAGAGTCACATGTTGTGAATATCCCCAAGGAACGGGTTTTTCTTTTTTGTCTGATCAGTGATGTGCTGGGTACATCGGAAGGCAGTGATGCTGTTAATAGAAGCTGACCACAAGATAGTGGTAGGCTATTGTCTGAGGAGGGGTGGAGAAGGACAGGCACCACTCTGCCCTGGAGCTTCCCCCTGGGGAGGAGGCTGTTACTGAGACTGGATCTTAGAAGGAGTCTTAGAGGACCGCTGAGACTAAGTCAGTGGTTTTCATGGACTGGACTGTTGAAGATGCCATGAGAGAGGAAACAAAAGCCAAGTGGATGTTGTTCAAAATACTTCCCTATCTAGATTCAACATCCTTGCAGAGCTTCAAGGAAGCCAAGAAATCTCCCCACAGTTCTGAACTTCTGAAAAGACAGTTATAAACAAGGACTCCTGTTAGGGACAATCTAGAAGGATTACTTGGAGGGTTAAGTCATGGCAGATGGCACAGAGCCTATTTAAAGTATTATTGAAAGCAGAGAAATATATTCTGCTTTGCTAGAAAGGCTTGAGAAAGGGTAAAAGGGAAACCACACGGCTAATCAGCAGGGACTCAGAGGCTACTGAGGGCAAGATGTCCTTCAGATAGCTGAAGATTTTAAAAGAAAATGTAAGGACTAAAAAGAAAAACAAACAAACAAACAAACAAAAAACAAAAATAAACCCAGAGCAACATTAATCAAATCAATTCCAAGATATTTAAGAGATTTTTTTACTAAAATAGTTGAAAGAAACAAGAATTAAGAAATTCTGTTTCTACAACAGAGCAGAGGGAAGTCTGGGAGACCATCTGTAATGCTGAAAAATAATAAGGGAAAACAGAAGCACTTAGAAGAAGCTATAGGAACAAAATGGTCAGAACATTTTAATTCTGCTCGTGCTGTGGAATGACTTGTAGATTCTCACACCTAATTTTTTTTGTGGAGTAGATCATATGAAGTCACTTTGAGGTGGTACAAAACAAAATGAAGGGATATACTCCTAAGATTTTTAAAGACACTCAGAGATGAAATGGCCAAACGGTACCTGTGGCATACCATTAATTCTTTATTTAAAGCTATTTGAGATGTGGGGTTGCAACTCTGTTGCCAGTTTTAGATTGAAAGAGTACGGTCCATTAAATCAGTATGAGGCAAAAGGGTTGTAAGATATAATAATATCTTTCTAAAAAGAGCTAGAACACATCTAACAGTGTCATTATTACCAAACACCGCAGGAAATTGCACAGATGGCTTAGAAAAAAACACAGAGGAAACTGCAGCTGGCTAACAGGAAAGTTCTTGCAGTCATAGAAAGATGTAAAATATTGGAGAAAATATTTTTTTGTCAGTTTTCACAGGTGACAGAGGCCAAGAGTGAAGTTCCAGAAGTCATATTCTGTGATCCATGTGTATCAAACTATATTTGAACATGTGAACATGCTGGAAAAGTAGTGTATAATTATGTGGTAAATTTGGTGATAGTACTAAGTTATTAAAGGTGTTAAATAGAAGTGGCCTGAATGACTGACTAAATTAATTTTAATTCATTAAAATTAAAAATTAAATTCAATGAAGATAAATATAAACAGATATGAAAACAATTTTATATTTAACATATTTCACTTAGCTTTAATTTAGCAGTTAAATGTTTCTGTGAAAATGTTGGTCTTGTGCTTAGGAGGTTAGAAAAAATGCAAATATGCAGCCCATATTTATTAGGAAAGCAACAGAGAAAATAAGTGAACACTAAATTTATCATTGTATCAATCCACAGATATGCAGTAGCCTAATATGATGTTTAACTTTTTAAATACTATGCCCAGTTCCTTGACTGGAAAACAAACAGACGTACAAACAAAAAATGTGATCAAACTGAAAAAGCTCTAGAGAATGAATGAAAAGGTGGAAAAATAAAATGGTACAATTAGATTCTGTCTGTGAAGTGACAGCAGGTAATAGTTCTTCTGCTCAACCGAGGTATGAAAGAGAAGTAGAGTGACAAGATCATGAATAGCATCAAGTGTGCAGTAGCAGGGCACATCAAACAAATCCAGCCACTGGGAAGGTCAAAAATAACACAAAAGTGTTTATTTAGGCAATGTGGAGGGAAGCTGTGGTACTCTCACTCAAAATATGGCATTGCTGAAAGTTATGGGAATTAAGGGCTGTGAGAAGAAAAGGAAAAATAGTAATTGAGAGTTGCTAAATGAAATGATCCTGATTTTCCTTCTACTGAAGACACATTGGTGTCACAGTGAGTATAATGAAGATAAATTTCTACATATGTGTTCTGGATCACTGTTAGCTGCTTTTGTGGCTCACATATTCCATTTCTATAAACTGAAACCAGGGGGCAGAAAGTTCTGCTTTTGCGATATGTACTATGTACCTTATAGAGGCACAAACAAATTAGCAAAACCAGCCAAGAACTTTAATATGGAAAGCATAGGAAAAAAAAATCTTTAAGACAGGTAAGCGATGATGTTTTAGAGATTGTGTCATTATTAAAAATTCACCTGTTCAGTAATGTGTTACATTGAGGTTTACCTACTGAGATTTGAATAGACATGTCTAGTTATTAAGAAGACTAATGTCAAGCAAGAAATTAATGTTTCAGGAAGTAAAACAATCCCAAATTTAAAAAACCCCCTTCAATCTTTTGATTAGTACTTACATATTTCTTTAAAATAAATGTATGTGTCTGTTTAATTGTTTCCTTAACTTCATCACTGAAATAAATATCCTTTACCAATAAATATAGTTGCATTGCAAGTTGCAAATGGAAACCACCTGGATAATCAGATTGAGAAGCTTAGATTTTGGGAATCTGAGCCCCATGTTGATCAGACAAACTCCCTTTGAATTAGCTATATTTGAATAACTGGGGAGTTTTCATACATTTCCACCAAACTGACAGCAATAGAGCATATGAAAAACCCATTATTTATAGAGGAGATTTTGACACTTTATTTTGTTAGAGAGATTAATACCTAAAATATATTACTGGAAGACCCAGTCAATAGGATTTAAAACTTTTGAAAATTAAATTGGTAGACCATCTAAGATTATAAATGAACCAAAATCTATATGTAATATGCAATGCAATGAAATTTATTTGATTTAGCCTAGTATTTGTTTCCATTTAAACAGATTTTGCAACAGCAATAAATATGTTATGGAAAAATAATTGTACAATAAGGTCTTTTTCCTGGCGAAAAATGTTTTAAGTTGTATCTGCAAAAGTGCATACATTTCTAATTATTGTAATTCAGTGAGAAAAATATTTAGTACTGTTGTGACTATCACTGTTACAATTATCACTGTTACTATTAATGGAATAGGACAGTACATTTGGTTTTAAAATTAATCTATCGATTTTTAGAACAAATTCATGCTTTTTCTCCAGTTTCTCTATAATGCTCTCTGCTTTCCTATTGCTAAAAGAGACTTGTGCTTAGCTCATTCTTCTATTTTCAAACCACAGTTTTCACTGTGACATTATAAAACTAACTTAATTTATCTGCTGGGAATTCATTTCTGTTGATCATATGCCCTCTTCTTTTTGCTGAGAAGGAGATATTGCAGGATGGTTAACATGCTTATTTAAGTTCACTTATTTATACTGATTTTATCTTTTGTTAAAGTAGATGCATTATATTTGTGTGTTGTTTTGAGTGGAATGAATTTAACTGAATGAAATCACTATCTTTTTATACTTTGCAAAATTATTATTTTTCTGACATTGTAGAGGACCCTACCTCACACTTAAACAAGTCTTTCATTAGGATTTAAAATTTCTTTATTTTGTTATTGTGCAAAGACAGTAAACAAACAATGCTAAAATGCAGAGTAGCAAAAGGGAGACATTTTCAAAAATAAAACAAAAAGGTAAGCAAATTCAATTTTGTTTTGGAAAGATGCAGTCATAAATGAACTGAAAATTTATTATAAGACATGGCTAGAAGATCTAAATTGTGACATGAAAAAGAAGAGGTCACACTGAACATTAGGTTCCTGGAACTGATGCCTGCAGAATATGAATTAATAAAGGGAAAAATATATATCATCATTTTGTCTTCAAATTTTCAAACTTTTGCAGTTAGGGCAGATTAAGCTAAGCTAAACTAAAAGGTTTGGTTAGGATGCCTTTCTGGTTAAAAACGTTCTGGTTTTGCTTTGGAGGTGATCAGTCAAAGCTTTGTCTTCATAACCTTCTCTGATGGTACAGCCACACTTTTTATGGATCCTGGTATTTCATCATTAAAACATTTTTCCATACATACAACCTGATCTATCCAGCTTGGTCCTCAAGGCCACCGTCCCTTCTATAATCGCTTTTATATTATTTGTTACTGCTACAAGGCATTTATCTCTACTTCTTCAAATATGGCCCTTAGCTTTGACTTTGCCAGACTAAAACCAGCTCCTTTCACTCAACCTTCCTATGCCAGTCATGTTCTTTAGGTCCCCTGTAGCCCCTGCTGCAGGTTCTGCACAGTTCATCTAGCTCAGGGCAAGAGCATATTGTTGGCCTTGCGGTCAACTCTCACCCTCAAGTCCTTTCAGCAGCTCATCCAGTCACTCTCCACTGCCCACATCTACTCTACCCTAAGTGCAGAGCTTGACCCTTCTGCCTCTTTAAGTGTAATGAGTCTTCTCTAGGCAAAATCTGTAAGTTTCCTTAGATCCTGCTGACATTAATTTCCGTCATTCATTATGTCAGTCACTTTTCTTAGCATCGTCCAGAAATCTGTCAAGTTTGCTTTCTATGTCATAATCCAGGTCCCTGATCTCATGTTGCATCATGGCAGTCATTAAGACTGGTGGCATGATTTGCCACTGGTAAATCTCTGTGTGTTGTTCCTGATTGCCTTGTTTTCCATGTATGCTCAGAAATTAATTCCAAATTAATGCTATTTGTGAACTTTCTGGTGTAAAATGTGAGGCTTCTTTTTTTAGTGTTCCCTTGATCTCCCTTCTGTCTTAATATGAATATAATATTTTTCTTTTTTCAGTTGTTGAGGACCTTTATTGATTAGCATTATTTTTAATAGATTATAGTATCCATGTGTTATCTGCAGTCAGCACCTCTGACACATTGAGGTTGGCATCCTGTACTTAAGTTCAACATTTATAAGTTGCTCCAAACTTCTTCATCTCTTATAAGCCTGCTTCCAAAATAAGACAAGTATGTTCAGAATTTAAAATGTAGCCTTTGACTGAGGTGAAAATGTCATTAAATAATTAAACCTTTTCCATATAATCTATCAGTCAACTGGTTTTCCCATTCAGCAGTTTTTATTTTCTGTGAATTTCCTTCTGATATTACCATGCTTGTCAGAATTCTTCCTTTGATTTCTGTCCTTGTTTTTACTTCCTGTATGATTTCTACCATGTAAGTTCTCTGTGTAATGGTTCAGGCCTTTGACAAAAATTTCTGGTCTACCTGCATGAAGGGGTCCTTTTCTCCTGAGCTCCAAATAATTTTTCTTTAAAGTCAGCTAATTATTCTGTATACTCCTTGTATGAGGCTCCAAGGGTATTATTCAGCAAAATTCTAAATAAATAAAAATCTGCTGTCCTGAAGACAAAATGTTCTGTCCAGAAAGCTGTTCTTTGCCTTTCTCTAAATCCTGGCTCATCTTCTCCTGGTCACTGCAACCCAAACTAACACTCATAAGTGTTTTTTCCTCATTGAGCAGCTGGTCAAACAGAGTATTTCCCTGGCTGGGCCACATTAAAGTTCACATCAGAAATTCATATGCAGTGCTCTGAAGACCCTTCCACAATGCTTAAGATTTGTATTACTTCTTCAGTAGATGTCCATACGGTCAAAATCCCTATAATGGACCAAGGGCTCTGATTAAGGGATTCCTCTTAATTGTCTGTAGATAGCTTCAGAGATGTCATCTTAGTCAGGCAAGCTGTAACAGATGTGCATCAAATCATCCTGTTGCATCCTCTTGGACCTAGACCTGGAGGGTATCCACAGACACCTCCTTGGTTTCACACCAGATCTTTCCTCAATAAGGAATTTTCATCACATAGCACATAGCTCTGCTTCCTCTGTATCATCTACCTTCCCTCGGCAGGCTTGTGGAACAGATCACTTCAGTCTACTGGAAGTGGCAGTGCTATGGAACTGAAGAGGACAAGAAGTAAATACCATATGTCTTGCAATCTTCATCTTTAGCGGTCTTGATGCACACAGTAACCTGACAGGGAAGATTTATGCCTGGTTTACTACCAGTCAAGAGGCAGGAACATGACCTAGGTAACATTTCTATAAATGGGAGAGAAGTTGTCAACTGGGACATGAAGCTGGGATTTGGATATTACTAGCTTAGTAATCCACTGGGAGCAAGGAACATAGGAAAAGAAGGTGAGTGAGATCCTAAGAATAAATGTGAAAGTTACACTTGTGATGTACCAGTCAAGTTTTCAGACAGCTATATCCTGCTCATTATGATACATATTAATAATATTAATGAGGCCAGCAGAAACAGCTGGATGGCTCAGCAGGAAATATGTAGTTTTCAGAGTTCTGAAGGGTTTAAATTTTTGCAAAAAAATTTACTGCAAAAGAGTTTTAAAAAATCTAAAATGTGCAAACATTGAATATTGCCTGTTATGCTGAATAAAGCTTTGAGACCAAAATAGTCTGTCATTCAGGCAAACATAGAAGTTCTTTTAATATATTATCTGAATTTGCTTTTAATTAATTTGTGCTAAACCCATATGCATATGAAAATAGATGGCTATCTGTATGGACAAAATCAATACAAAGGGGAGAAAAAATTAAATTGCTTGAGACTTGACTTCCAATTAATCTGGATACTTAACAGGATGAAAAATATATGTCCTGCCACAAGTAGATTTATTCTCACTTTATTTTTAATTTCTTTTGACAGTATGATGCTAAAGGATTTACTTATATTAAAATCTTCTCTCCTTTCCACTACTGTTTTTCTTTATCAACAGCAGATTGAGTCATTAATGTGTGTTTGGCTACTTGTATATACTATTTATTCTAGAGTCTGAAAGCTCTTCTAATTTGATGGTACAAGTATTTTGAAAGTGTTTAATTTTTGCTCAGAAGTTATGGATACAAAGAATACTTTGAAGTTTTTAGATACCAAGAATGTGTGTGACCAGATTTATCCTCTTAAATTCTTATCTGTTATTTTTGTTTCATTGTTTATCAAACCTCATGTCTTTTTTTATTTGTCTATTTTTTAGTATATTTTTCCAAAATAAGCCTTTTTTCTGCTCAAACAAGACAGCATAATGCAAGTTTTTGTTACAATGATATTTAGTTATTTTTTTATATAGATCTATATTTATAAGAATGTGTTTTGTGTTGGAAGAAAGTTGCACAAAATTACAATTCTGATGTTTGAAATTTTTAGATAGTACATTATTTAGTGCCACAAAGATTGCACACACGGATGTTGTCTGCTTAGATCCTTTTCCCTTAGTTTTGGATGAAGCAGTTTTGATATCTGTCTTCATTGTCATTGTGCCAAGGGCAATTAATTTTTTTAAATAATTTGCTGAAGAAGGGAATGCAAACAAGTATTGCAGTCAAGTGTTAGACATGATACATACTATGGTAAAGAGTATTCCTGAGGCAACACTAACGAATCAATAATATTGTACAATACAAAAAGTAGGATGACTTTCCTTTAGAATACATATGACAATTTTTGTCTATTTCCAATGTCCAATATAGAAAAGCTGCTAAGGTTTTTTTTCTGGATCTTCATAAGACTACATTTCCAGAAATAAATATTTCTCAGAGAGTGCTTATGTAACACATGATCATCTGAAGGCAGAATATGTTTACTGACAGTTAGAACTGAGAGTCTCAGTCTAACTGTGAAGCACTGAATCCCTGGCTATTTACTCCTTGGAATCCATAATAGTTATTTCTTTGATTAGAGTGGTTTTTGCATAAATAATTGTTAGTGAGCTAATAGCATAAACAAATCACTCAGAAAGAAGCATTTTTAGCACTGCTAAAACACTGCTGACATGATTTAAATGACAAATGAAGTAAATGTATTTATGAATGAAAGAAAATTTATTTTTCAAGCATAAAGAAAATTTCACTGTCATCATAAGTGGAAATATGCTCATCTCATGTACAGTGTCAGCCTTTAAAGCAAGTAGAGGGACTTACAAATTGGTCTGGAGAAAATAAAAAAAAAAAAAAAAGAAAAGAAAGGGAAAGGGAAAGGGAAAGGGAAAGGGAAAGGGAAAGGGAAAGGGAAAGGGAAAGGGAAAGGGAAAGGGAAAGGGAAAGGGAAAGGGAAAGGGAAAGGGAAAGGGAAAGGGAAAGGGAAAGGGAAGTGAAAAGTGAAAAGGAAAAAGGGAAGGGAAGGGAAGGGAAGGGAAGGGAAGGGAAGGGAAGGGAAGGGAAGGGAAGGGAAGGGAAGGGAAGGGAAGGGAAGGGAAGGGAAGGGAAGGGAGGGAAGGGAAGGGGAGGGGAGGGGAGGGGAGGGGAGGGGAGGGAGGGAGGGGGGGGGAGGGAGGGGAGGGAGGGGAGGGGAGGGGAGGGGAGGGGAGGGGAGGGGAGGGGAGGGGAGGGAGGGAGGGGAGGGAGGGGAGGGGAGGGAGGGGAGGGGAGGGAGGGGAGGGGAGGGGAGGGGGGAGGGGAGGGGAGGGGAGGGAGGGGAGGGGAGGGAGGGGAGGGAGGGGAGGGGAGGGGAGGGGAGGGGAGGGGAGGGGAGGGGAGGGAGGGGAGGGGAGGGGAGGGAGGGGAGGGGAGGGAAGGGAAGGGAGGGAAGGGAAGGGAAGGGAAGGGAAGGGAAGGAAGGGAAGGGAAGGGAAGGAAAGGGAAAGGAAAGGAAAGGAAAGGAAAGGAAAGGAAAGGAAAGGAAAGGAAAGGAAAGGAAAGGAAAGGAAAGGAAAGGAAAGGAAAGGAAAGGAAAGGAAAGGAAAGGAAAGGAAAGGAAAGGAAAGGAAAAGGAAAGGAAAGGAAAGGAAAGGAAAGGAAAGGAAAGGAAAGGAAAGGAAAGGAAAGGAAAGGAAAGGAAAGGAAAGGAAAGGAAAGGAAAGGAAAGGAAAGGAAAGGAAAGGAAAGGAAAGGAAAGGAAAGGAAAGGAAAGGAAAGGAAAGGAAAGGAAATTTCAGGGAAGTTTGGGAAAGGGAAAGGGAAAGGGATTACTGGAATGAAAGATCAGAATTTCAGGCACTCGCAGGAAAAAAAATCAGTCCAAAAAGTGTGACTTTCTGAATTATGCATCCAGACAGGACATACCTTTAATAGCAACTTTAGTAACTTTTCAGAGGCCTTCTTTTTTTATATTCTATATAGAAAAAAATTCCTGTGCCTCAAATTTCACATCCACTTTTTCCAGGGCATATTTTCTTATGTCTTATATACTGCTAGAATCCAGGAACCTCAGAGAAACATATAAATCATTTGGGAGAAACTAAGCTCTAGGCAAAGGCAAATTATTTAACAGTATTTCAGAAAGATAAATATAAGGACATTATTGAAAATGACATATATAGTAACTAGGGTCTTCCACAGACAGAGAGAGAGGTCTCTGGTTGAGTCTGAGAAATATTATGTCTTAATGGATAAATGCAGGATAAAATGAAGCCAAAAATTTAAAAGTGTGTGACTTCAAATAGTCTGGATATAGAAGCTTTGACTCAATGTACACTGGAGTGCATTAGGAGAAACTAAATGGAAGAGCAGTAACAGCACGCAGAAACAGAATGTGAAGACTGTCTTTGCCAGCACTGATGGATGGACAAGTGGGAAAAATAATTAAATTAATAAATTTCACTTAGGATGGTAATTAAAAGGCAGATTGGGAAAGCAAGCCTGTTTGAACAAATATAAATTTTCTTGAATCTCAGTTCCACCAGAAAAAAAACCCAAAAACTGATAGCAGTGCCACATCTTTTTCTAACAGAAAAGCTTTTTGAAACCCCAGTGTTTATTTACAGGTTGGAGTTATTTTACTATGTTGACAGGTTTTGCTCAATTTATTTTGGTATTTGGCCTAAGTATACATAATCTGTTCTCACACTGCATGTTCCCTATTGGAACCAGAGTATTAAATTTCATTGTTGAATATGGTTGTGCTATTATTGTTTGGAAATAAATCATTACTATTTACTTTCTCATATTCAGCTTTCCTACAGTGACAGCTAGGTGTAGGATTTTATTTTTTCTTGTGATTTGCTACTGTAACTTAACTCTAAAGCTGCATTTTTATATGCAAGGTGAGAGTAGATTATCGAAGGAATAACAATCAGCATCACTATTTTTGCAAGACAATAGGACTGATCACTACTACTTTCTCAACCTGCAAAAAAACCAAAAAACACCCACCAAACACAGAAAAAAAAAAAAAAAACCACAAAAAACTCCCAGACAAACCCCAAATCAAAACAAACTACCAGCAAAAAGGAAAAAAAAAAAACAACAAAAACAAACAAATCAGGATTTTTAACTGTCCTGCAACATAGGAGATAACACTCAGGAAGTAGTGACTCCATCCATCTGTCTTAATTATAGAAATTAAAACAAGATAAATTATGCATCTTGAGTACCTAGATATAAAGACAGAAATACTTCATATATTTCAGAAATACTAAAATATATATTCTTGAATAAGGAAATACTGGTCAAAGAAAAATCCTCTGGCTTTATCTCAGTTGTATTTATACCATTTAATCTTACTTTATTTAAAAAGTGCTCAATATTTTATCACATCTGTAAAAAGTAATTTAACTTCAGCTATTCCAAATGCACACAAAAGCCTTTCAGCAGTATAGTAGCACTAAGTAGTTCATCATTCTATATGTTTCGCCTTCAAGAAAGGATATACATTTGGGTTTATGGGTAGCAGTTTAAAATTGATGGAAAGCTGTACTCCTGAGCATCAGGTCCTTTATGTAAGTATGAAGAAATTCTTACAGTTCTAGAGCTTGTGGGTCTACCATCCAAATAAATTATTGGCACATGAAAGTATCTGGAGACTAATTTTATCAAGATTAATTTTATTTAGTAATATTTAGTCACTGGACTAAAATTCCAAGCAAGACACTTTTCTGGTGTATGTTTTGACAAATTTGAAGTACATAACAGTGACTATCAGTTATTTTACAAATTTACTCTCTTGTGAGAATTCAGACCTTTTACATAGTTACAAATTTACCTATTTACAAATTACCCACTAAGAAAATAATTACTTTTCTAAATTCCTTTTGATTCTATCCAATTACTTCTTTGTAAAAAAGAGCCTTTTAATTTTCCAGGTCCTTTTGGGAAAAAAATTTTCCAAAGCAATAAAATCTGAGTCCTGGGTTATTGCTGAAGTTTAATCAAGACAGCATTTTGCTCACCTTCATCAAGATAGCAGCTACATATTAAATGCAAAATTACAACACATAGCTCCCCTATGACACGTGGGCATTTGAGTCAGGATGGGAATTTAACGAACCTATGTAGAAATAGGTTCTTATCTGTCTGTCCCTAAATGACTCTTGTGACTGTTTTTGTCTCTGGAAGATTTTCAAAATCACTTCAATTTTACCTTTTTTTTTTTTTTTTTTTTAAGAAAACCTGACATATTCCGTCAGTAAGGAACAGCTAAAAATCCATGTATAGATTGAATCTGAGAGAAAAGAACTTACACTTTTACACTTTTTGGACCACTGAGATTCCACAGTCATCATTAGGAGATTTCAAATCCGGAGTCCACTAGAGCACAAAATAATGCACCATTTTGGTGATTAAAGGCATGCATACTCTATTCTGCTGAATTTTTATAAGGGACTTCAGTAATTCTCCACAGAATAAATCTCAGCTGTTTTTCTTTTATGCTACAGAAGAAAAAAACCCTTTAATCAAAATTTCTCCATTGACCTGAATGCCACTGATATTTTGATGATAGTGGTTTATAAAGCATCTTGATCCTATACTGAATAAAGTAGATATGAAAAGACTTATTGAGACAAGGATATGTACTGGCTCCCTGTGCATCACAAATAGCTATTTACAGAGAGCTCTGAAAGGCTCATGCACCTCTTGTCTCAGTCAAATGCATGCCTTCCTGTTTAAAAGGTGTTTAAAAGATGTTTTTCATTTTATTTTCTTTGTTAAAAAAAAAAAGCGTTTTGAAACAATCTGACACTGACATTAATACTGAACTTACTTTAAATGCAGTTGCAAGTTATTTTTTAAATACGCTACTCCACAAACCTAGGACATCATCATCCTTTTATTAAAAAGTGTTTATTTCATACTAAAACCTCATTATGTTCTTACATAAATATTTTGTTGTAGTAACAGTAATCTTTTTGTTGGCTTTGAGCCCTTCATTTCACTAACAGATTATTACTAGAAGTGTAATATAGTTTCCCTCTACAGAGAACAAAACTGAAAGCATATGTATTGGAGACTTTGCAGTGAGTGTACAATAGAGCCATAATAAAATCTGTCATCTCAGTGTGCAGCCAAGATACTTTGCTTTACCAATGTAAGAAGAAAAGAGGCAGAGGCAGTTGCTATGGTGTGCTGCATGGAAGCTATGTGTTTCAGTCTTGTTTCAGACAGTTTACTATTTCTCAAACATCATCTCAAATTTGTGATCCATAGAGCATTTTCTGGTGGTCTGTGCAATGTTACCTCATTAAAGGGTGCTGGTATACTTCTCCTGAACTGCCTCTTAAGATGGCTTAAGCCACAAAGCAGACTTGCTTAATATTCCTTTTTCATGCTAAAAAATGCTTAGTCATTTTGAAGATGTGAATACCATCAAGTAGTCCCAATTTTGGGATGTGAGCTGTCAACCAAAACACTTTGCAGGTCATTATTACCATTTATACAGCAGAAGAATATTTACTTTCTTAAGTTCTTAGGTTAAGCACATCAGTTTTGGTGTGTTCTTATGAAATGGTCTATTTCACCAAGACTAAAATGTTTAAGATGCTCCTTTTCTTGCTCTGTGCAGAAGGTTCAGAAGAGGTTGTTGATGAAATGCTTAAAGAAATAAATCACCTGATTCATTGTGGAATAGCCATGAGACCTGCTGAAAAGGATAAATGTTTCATCCCCATTACACAACTTTTTGGTCAGGTTATTAGTATGCTTTGGAAAGTGTGGGTTCTGTTTTTTCTTCCTCTGTCTGGGTTAGGATTGAAGGCACTTGAGGCAATAGTTCATGTTCAGACTCAGGTGTTTATTGTTTCTTATCAGTGAAACAACCTCACAGCTGTGACTTCTGCAGCCTTTCATTAGCAAAACACAGAATGGCTAATTATCTCTTGTCACAAGGTCTTTAAGACTAGACTATCCAATTAAGAAATGACATCTTTTTCCTTTTAACCCAATAACTGATCCCTCAAAGCCCACAGTGTGGACTTTTCTCTCCAATTACAAAACATCACCTAAACCTATGAAGAAGAAGGAAGAGCAACCTGCCTCTGCCCTAAAACCTCCATCTTGCTTCATATTTATTTCTATATTCTAAAACACCAAACTCTAAAGTTTTCCACCCTGTGATATTACACACTTCTAACCAACTACACACCCGTAATCCCAGTACTATTAATCAATTTTGGAAGTCTTTTCCACAGGTTCAAGTCAAATGCAGTGCTCTCTTGCGAGTCTGTGCCTTTCAGCACAGAAAGTTTAAAATTCTCAGCAGCCAGGATTCCAACATCTCCCCCTCTTGTCTGAACCAGCAGGAAAGAATTGTCATTGGCTTCTAATCCTCTAGTTAAAGTTTACCCAGATACAATATCTACTATTATTCTTGAGAGCAAGGAACTTTTGTACCCCAGTTTTAGTTCTGCAAGTGGTTCTGCTTTTTATTTTTAAAGTCAACATGCAAGAGTTTAGCTGGCAATATTCAATATGACTGCAGCTTTTCAGACACTGAGCACTACTCACAGAAAACTTTCAATGTAACAGTTTTTTTTTTTCTTTTTTTGGATTCTTTCCAGTCACTCTGTGCTCTGGAGTAATGTTATCCCAAAATTCAAATATCTACAATTGTTCCTTGTGACAAGGAACTGCACCTAAATTCAGTTTTCTCCAATGTTCTGCTGTTTCCAAGCCAGGATGAAGTATAGCATCATCCATTTGTAAGGAAATTGAACCAAAATATTGGAAGTTACCTGTTTCAGTTCTTCCTATTAAAATAGAGAGTGAAAATTATAATAATACCATAGGTTTTAAAATAATATTAAGGATTAAAAAGAGGGCAAGGTTTTTTCCTTATTTATGATTAAGTGCATTTCAGTGAATAATATTTCTTTTGAGACAATTCTACATCGTAATACAACTTAAAACATAATTATGGAATTAAATGTTTAGCAGGGATGAAGTAATGTAGTGGTATCTGCTGTAATTTAGCACTAAGCACATTGCTCATAAATCAATTAAATTATGTCAGTCATCCTACTGAGAGCACAGAATAACTCTCTTTGTATACTTGATGATATAATAGATTCCAAGAGGGAATGGGATGTGGCACAGTAAAGGAGAGAGCATAGGAAAAAAAACTTGACATCCAAATGCTGTTGTGTGAATTGGCTACTCGTCCTGACTTTGTAATGAAAGATCCTTCATTCCCAAAATTGTTATGCTTTTCAGCAAACCAAGCAGAACAGGAATTAGTTCATATTATTTTACTTTGTGTTTGATCTTTTTAATCCAGATGTGCTTATTTCAGATTTTGGGTTGTCTTCAGTGCAGCAGCCAGCCATAACAGCTCAGATAAAATGCAACTAGCCTGTTAAATCTCTGTCTTAAACACCACAAATTAAAAAGCAACTAGCAGTAAGAGTAAAAAGCACAGGTCTGGCCCTGACATGCTAATCTGTGCAGGTTTGGATGAGTATAGGCTTTCAGTTTTTATTGAAACTTTGAGAGAAAAACTCACATACTGATGAAATTCTTCACCTTTTGCTTGAAGTCTGTCTTTACTGAAGCAGCTGACACATATGGATTTTAAGATTCCACAGATTATTTTATTTTAATTTAACTTCATGTTTTTCTCTTGGTTTCCTGGATAGTTCCCTGAGGAAACAAGGCCTATGCAATTGTGTTGTCTCCTTCTACATCTCACTTTTGGAACTCTTGGCCATAACCAGCCACATCTGACCTAAGACAAAGGGCTCAATGAGTGAAGTTTCCAAGCTCTGTAGAGACAGACAGTGTGTACAGCAGCCACTTTGTTAGGCGGGTAGGGAAGGAGGTAGGTAGGTATCCCAGATTTTGAAGTTTTCAATGTGACTGTGGTTAGATGTTGCATCCCAGTGGAAATTAAACTAGAAAAATACCAGTATGTTATTGTCAATTCAAATCAACCTATACCACAATTTTTGTTAATTACATTAGCCTCTTTTTATTCACTGATGTCACTACAGTCACTACTAAGAGTAAGCAGAGAAAATACTAACATGCAAATAAAATTCTTTTGTCTCCTAAGGGAACAAAACAATTGTTAGAATTATATGACACTATTGTACACTTAAACTTCCAGCTCAAAGCACTGCAGTGCTCAGATAGAAATGAATTCACTTAAGTTAGGATGTCATTACTAGTCCATTTCATTATTTGTTTCTATTATTTTAGACGAGTTTCATAAAATCAGCTCACATAAAAATAATAATAAATATATTTAAGTTTTGTATGATTTCTTATATAAAAATGTCATAAGAAAAAGCCTAGATGGGTTGGGAGTAGGAACGTGGAAAAGGACTGGAAGTTATTTATATGGTAATTTTTCTTTATCTGAAGTATATTTTAATAAAATGAACATTTGTAAACAGTGACTTGAGAATTGTACAGAGATATTGAATTGTATAAAGGAGCATGCCCCAAATTATCTTAAATTATACTTGGAGTAGCACTGAGGACCACAGAGATAAACTGATACATTTTTGTGTAACTTAAGGCACAATTTAATCTATTTTTCTCTAGCAGGACTATTCATTATGATCACAATTTAAACTTGCAGGCTACATTTATCTGACAGATAGATACATAATCCCTAAGAAAATGGGCTATTTTTTCTGGATCACAACTGAGCTACAGTGGTGCAGCAAAGTAAGTCATACGACATTCTGCACAAGATTTTTACATAAGTGATAGAAATGTGTGAGGCATAAAAAGCCATTCTGACCAAAGAAACAGGGTCATACAGCACCTAGACTTCCAACTGCAACCAATGTGAGCTTACAGTTAACTCCAAGTGGGGAGAAAAAAAGAAATATGATGAATGCTTTCTCATCTATATATTGCATTAAATTGTTGAAGGCATGCAATCACAATGTTGCAGTGCTAATGTATTGAGGAACCCTTAGCCACTTCGAAGTCTTTGGAGCTTTAGGAAACTCTGTCAGATATCAGAAATATTTCCCACATGTTGAATTGAGTCACACCGCTTAGTATAAAATTCCATGCCAATATTGTTCCAGAGGAAACTTGTGCCTGAGTTACTTTGCTGCCAAAGTTTAAAACTCTTTGATCAATGTTATTAAACTACCTGATCACCTGAAAGGAATGCTTAGTATCTTGCAATGGTCTGTGAGAAAATAAAATTTTGTAGCATGAAATAGACATGCCAGAAGAAAACCATACATTATAAAGTGTAGCTTCCAGCAGTACAAATTGTAAAACATAAGCTCAAAGGTGCATTTCTCCACAGCGTTAAACAAAGGGTTTGAGCTCACGAAATGCAGCTGAGCTGCAGCTTGCTAAGGATTGCCTGTCCTGTACATCCACAACTGGCAAGACTGCATGTACCAGTACTTAGAAGGAATGCTGTTGCCTTAGCCAGCATGATGCTGTTTTTCAAATGAGTGACACATGCTGTTACTGTCATGATACCCCATGACAGTTTCTGTCATGACTGACATCTGCATCAGCTTCCCTCAGCGAGAAAGATAGAAAAAATGGAAAAAACAAATGCCTCTGGGTCTCTAAAAGTTGTTGGCTGTTTACCACAAATGTGAATTTATTTAATCAATGGGAAGGCATCAGGATGAAAATGCTGACTTTGATGATATCACTATGAAAATTTTGACTTTGAAATGGTGACAGTCAGGAAACCATCAGTTTTAGTTCAATTAACACAATATCTGCTTCTGTGTGCATATTTATTTTGGTGGGTTATTTTCTACTCAGGTGATCATTCAAAGAAATACACATGCACTTGATAGGAAAAAAAGAAAATAGGAAGATATTAAGCTTAATTGAACAGAAACAGTCCTCTAACCTGAAATAGAGATCTGCAAAACATAGACAAACTGACAACATTATGTCAGTGTAGACATGTGTGGGGTGTGGACTTTATCCATCCTAACCCTACCCTGAAAAGTACAGGGCAAAATAAAGCAGAAGCACTGAGCTGTCAGGTGCAATCTAGGTTAGGTCCAGATATGGTGCAGAGATGTTACAGTTCTGGAGCACTGTTGAGACTTGGGGATTATTAGTTCAGATGTAATTCTTGAGTTAATGTGCATTCCCTAATTCTAGAACTGATCTGACATGGCATTGCTTTGATTAGGGTGGTTCTGAAAGATCAAGCAGTGAACATACAGAAAGTTGTCCGTCACTTGCCTTGTGACATAGTCAAGGAAGAAATGTACTTTAAAAAAATAGGATAAAACGGTGAGAATAGGTAAGATGGTTTACATATAAAACTCACTTGCTTAAAATCTTTTCTCAGAGAAATGTGCACCTTTTTGCACATTAATTGCTGATATAATTTATATTCTGCAAAAAAATTGTTACTCTGCCTCTACAGTCCAACTGTCATCCACAGCATTTTCAGGGAAAACTTTTAGAAAAATCAAAGAGTTTTCCTGGGGATGGCAATGCATTACAGCCAAAATTCAGGTCAAAACAATCCAGAGACCCCAGTGACAACACTCCTGGAGAAGGCTTATGGATTATTTTCCCAAGAAGAAATGGGAAAACAGATCAGTCACTCACAAAAGTGTGCCCTCTGGAGTCTGGATGAACAACTTAGAAAGATCAACCTTCATTTTAGGCAGAGACATATCCAAGATCAATTGTTTTGTTGGGTTATTAGGAAACAAAATTCAGTAACATGCAGCACGGTTTTTTTACTGACACCATTTCAAGCAGATTAAGGGACTTGGGGGAAGAAAATGAAGAAAGAAAGGGTTCCAAAAATGTTCCAAAATATACAGCCATGTTTTCAATAGCTGCATAATTTTTTACTATGAAGACATGTATTTATTAGTTCTTAGTAAGAGTCTCATTTTGTGGAGTATTTGAAGATATTAATGCAATTTTACAGCTCTTAAAAAATTACCAAGTTTACAAATTGTGACAGAAATTAACAGACAAGCTTTGTCTGCTTATAAAGCTTAGGAAAAAGAAGTTCAAGTACAGAATTTGCAAGCTTTTACTCTTATAAATTTTAAAAATAGCTGCCTTCTAAAAGGGTTTGTAAAAATACTAATTATTTTAGTAGAGGTTGCTTAATGCTTTTAACTAATCAAATTGGGAAGAAGATCCCTTTATATTCTATTTCAATACTTAAAAATTTACAAGAAGGAAACTAAGATGAAGGGTTGCCTCATTCAAATGACATAACTACTGTCACATAACAACCAATACAGCAATATCAGATTGAAAAATAATGGTGTAAAATCAGGGAAAAAAGTTTATTCTTGTTCTACAAAATGTCTTAAATAAATCCTGGAATGGTAGACAAAAATAATCTCCTGTTCAGCTCTCAGATTCTCCTTGCTTCACATGCTTTCCACTTTTCCAGGCTTTGTGAGGGTCCTTCTTTGTCCCCCTAGCAGCTTGGCTTCTGCTCACAGCAGTCAGAAGCCTTCTTGCATATCAGGCCCAGATCTGTGCTCCAGTCAGAGACAAAGTTGGATTCAAGGGATTTTTTTATGTTAAGCACAAACTGTGTGACTAACTAGCTCCAACTATTCAGAGAATGCCTTAAGTAAAGCTGGGCCTGGGAGAGTCCTGCAGTTTGTAAAGACTGAAAGTAGAAGATGCTTCTTTAGAGATCAGAGCATATATCCAACTAGCATACAGTTTTCTGGTTTCAGGTGTGAACCTGTTATTAAAATATTATGAATCCATTTCCCCAGCTCCTAATGAGTATAACAGTAATAAATAAAAGAATTGATAATATTTATGAAATCTTTAAATTTGACAGAGGTGATTTTTATTGCAGCAGTCTTTGGCAGCAAATACACAATACAGATAGCTGTGTTCCACTTAATGGGTCAAAGTGTTAATAGAAAACTGTACTAGCTCTCTATTTTTCTGCCACAGGTTGTTTTCAGAAAACTCTTTTGCTACTATCAAAAGAAAATAACTACAGGGTATAAAATTCTGCAACTTTTACTTTTCAGACCCACAAATGTCGGTGCAAATCCTTTTGCTGGTTGGTGCAAATGCCCTTTGCTGGTCTAGGCGTGTTGGAAGAAACTCAGCTCTTCTGTGAAGCTGTTTTGCAAGCAAACCCCTAAGTGTGTATTTCTGTAAGATAACTTGGCTAAATTAATATCTCTTCTCCACTGGGATGCCTTCCTGTTTCCTTCTTTCCTTTCTGATGAGGTCACCTTACCCTCTCCATGGTACTTATCTGATCGCATAATTTGATTCAGTTCAGAAGAATAGAAAACTGACTTGGTAAGCAATAAAGAAAATGAAATATCTACTTTTGGTCTGATTATTTTAGTTTACTCTGTGTTCACAACAGTAACAAAGGCAGTCTCCTCCCATGAACCCTTCAAATCACTGGAGAAACCACCAGCTTTCTTCTGGTGAAAACTAGTTGTTCTCATATTTTTTTGTTGCATATATCATCAGTTCTTATTCTCTACTTATGCCAGCACTGAATTAGTTTTCTCTCCTTTCCCAGCTGATACTGTGACACATAATTCTTCTCTCACACACTTTGTTCTTTATTTATTTAGCATACTGCTGCCCGGCAAATCCTTGTCAGTTCTTTCCTTATGTTTGGTTTTTAACCATTTTATATATTGATATTATTTAAAACATTAATATTTTGTCTGAAGTGATGGAAGAATGTGTCTGAGCATGTATGAATAAATCCATTGAAGATTTACACAATTTCTGGCTAAAAACAGGTTCAGATTAATATTAAATAAATCAAAGACTGATTCATTTTTAAAGTAGATAATTACTGAACTGTCAGAAGAGCTTGTGTTAGAAGTTTTGCAAAGCTTTGAGAAAAAAGAAGAGTAAAATATGATAAAACTTGCTATTACAATATGCAGACTTCAAAAAATAACAGGCCGCAGCAGCTGAGCAATGGGTTACTAAGATTTCCAAAAAATCTAGCTTATGTTTCCTCACTGAACTAACCTGTATTGACCCAGCAGTGTCTAGAAAATAGCATTTAATTTATTATAAAGCTCTTCACTCTTTCATTTTTGATAAAGGAAAACTTCATTTTTGAAAGCCAGACATTAGTTGGTTGTCTGATAGAGTTGAACAAAAATTGCCAAGTGCACAGTGAGTGATGCTGAGGGTGAACAGCAGGGAGAGGATCCCAGATAGGCCCCAGCACATTCCCAGTTTGCTGTTTGCCAGGACACACATCACACTGGCATCCCCAGTGCCATCCCCACAGGACCCTGTCTGTCCTGAGAGGGTGGCACACAGCCAGTACTTGTTATAAAACTTCCCTCACCTGGGAGTGAGGAGACTTGTAATGTGCAACCAGTTTCCCAAAAGCTGTTGGACTGTCCTGATGCTGCCTGGATTGCACAGCCTTTCTTTGTGTCTTGATTTCCATGGGCAGAGACCTGTAAAACACTGTCACAGTGTTTTGGAGGGCTGACTTCAAGGGGATGGTATCAACAGGTCTCCAAATTGCTGGGATTTTCAGCATGTAATCTTTCTCAGAAGCCTGCCTCTGTCTTCATTTTTTTGTGGTGAGAGGGGAAGGACAGTTCAGTTCAGTAAGTGACTGAAAAAAACGCACACAGATAAAACCCAAGAAAACAATTGCCCACATAAATTTTTATGTTCTCATTAACTGGTATGTCACACCACAGAGCTACCAAAGCTGTAAAATCTATGCAGGTTCATTTGTTTAGAATTCCAAATGTAAAATAAAACCTCACATACTATTTCAATGAACAGCATTCAAGAAATGAAGGAATAGACAATTTGAAGCTGGTCTTGCAGAAACACCTCCAATTTTAACACTTCGGGGAATATACCTGGTTTTGCCTTAGCTGCTTAAATATGTAGGATTTTTTAACAAAATTGCATGGGTGTGTTTTGCTTGTGGGCAAATAAACAGAGGTATAAAAAATTTTACTTAGGGTTGAATCCTGACGGCAACTGTGTATTCAGTTTTCCTAGAAACAAAATTAAGTTATCATCACATACAGGGAATGGAGAGCTATTCCACTGCAGAAAACTGTATTGTGCCAAACTACAAACAATTCTTTGAGCTGAATCATTGACCAAACATATTTCCTTGAGCTTTGTGAATAACTAAACTTGCAGCTCATTAACCAAACCAAGCCCAGCGATAATTGCAAAGAATATTTCTGATTGACTTAATTTGTTTCAAATATTTATTTGAGATCAAGCAAAACATTTACAAATAATGAGTTAAAAAAAGTTCAGTTGCAAAGTGTATATATATGTTATATATGTATATATATAACATGTTATATATATAACATATATGTATATATACTCTAGAAGCTAAGTGAAAATTCAGCTTTCCATTTAAGTTTTTTTGCAAATTATATCTTAGTAATATATTTTATCTTTATCTTAGTAATCTTATTCACCAGACTTGGGTTTTGTGTACAAATTTTTTGTAGTTCAGACTGTTAATTTGTGAACTATGCTACATGTCCTTCCAGAGATATCTTGTTCTAAGTCTGTTGGCACTTTCTTGTTTTCATGCTGAGAGATTAGTATTTTAAATATTTTTTACGTGAACTTTTCTCATACCTGGCGATCATCACTTCTTTCCATTTTGCAATAAATTTCTATGCACCAAACCATTCTCATTTTCACATTAAAACAGGTAAAACATGGCATTTCCTTATTAAAACAGAACTTTATGGGTGAATAATAATCTGGCATTTAACTTACATTGAGGTCCTTTGGTTTCATGTTTCTTAAAAAATTTTCTTCATACTACCTTCAGAGTATCCATTTTCCTCTTATTGACTAGATGCTATAAGAATTCAGACTAAAATAAAACTGTGTATATAAAAGCTGGAACAGCCTGTGTGCTTGTAGAGCAAGATAATGGATAACATTTATTAAGTAGACTGTATGTAACGACACTGTATCAGGAGACTGATTTGAATGGTCCAGAAAGCTGTCTTCCCTTTTATATACTAGAACTTTTCTGAACTTCTGTCTCTGATTTTCCTTTCTGCTATTTCTTTGCAAATCTTTATTTTTTCTTTTTGTTATTCTCCTTTATGCTTAAAAATCTGCTCAGCTCAGAAACATTTACAGATTTCATTGAAACAGCTTTCTGCATCCAAATTTCTTTAACATCTTCATTAATGCTCTGCAAGAGGATTAAGCTGTTTCAAACAAATCTGTGACACTCAGCATTCTGGCTTTAGTCTTTATCCTCATTTATTGTGTTTTCTGACTATAACAAATGTTATAGGGGTATTTCATGCAGCAAACATTTCATGAAGTCAGAATAATAGACTAAAAAGCAAAGCCCATTTCCCTCATGTCTGAGTAAATTATATTAATATGAAAATATAAAATAATAATTAAACTTACTTTCAAACAGGTAAGGAGGATTAGCTTCCACGAAAGAACAGGGTAAAAACACACCATGAAGAAAACAAACAAACAAGCAATCCTGAATAGCAATTAGTTCTAGAAAAATGCCCCTTCCCTCTCATATGGAGACACTGCAACCTCTGAAACTCCTATTTTTTAGGCATCTTGGGGTAAATATTGCTGTAGAACCTCATATTATCTAACCAAAAATGTAATTCAGCTCAGCACTGCCATATCTGCCTATAGAACTACAGGCCCTGTGAGCCACATTATTCATGACATTCTACTGGAATTGAATCTAAAATGTTTTTTAATGGAGTAATTTACAAAATCTATTGCAACATAACTGTGATCTCAGCCAATATATCCAAAAAGACACTCCCAAAGTCAACAATCCCTCTCAAACAACTTACCTAGTTTATCATGAGGTGACATAGTGATTGAAAATATGGTGTGGCCTCCTAACTCCCAAAAAGATATTACTAAGGTGAGTAAAACTTAATGAGCTGAATTTCAGGAAAACACATTCATTTTCACAACACATTAGCTACATGAGACAGTTTTATCCAAATAAACAAAAATGATGATGTTTGTAGTAATATCATTTTTGCTTACAGTGAACTCTCGTTGTGCAAGGTAACTGAAGAAGTTACAGGACGCTTTGAGTGATGACACTTACTTAAATAAAATAGTAATGTTGATTTTGGACTTTACACAGAAGAGCTCAAGGTTATGTGTGAGATCTCATCTTCTTTAGATGTACTAAAACACTCTGAAAGCAATGGGTTAAATTGCATATGCTTATAAATTAATTCAGTTTTAAGAACGTGTAATTTCCTTTAAACAACAGAAATATGAGAGAAATCAGACCATTAGGAGTGTTTCCTGAGTCTGTTAAGAGTAAGGTTCTGTTATGTCAAAATTCTGTCTAAACAATATACAGAGGAAATTTCTTTTTGGCTTAACATATCTTTTAAAGACATACACCACAGCAGCGCAATTAACTCCTCTTTTTTTTTCCCCTCACAGCTAGCTCTAGTAGGAGCATCATCAAGATAAAGATAAATTCACATCCTGGAGTAAAATTAAAGTAAGCTGAGAAATCAGCCTTGATATTTATCTATACTATTTATTCTGCATGGAAATAATATCACAAGCATTTATTCCAAGAAGATTGTAATTTAAACCAGGTAAAGTGTGGAGAAAAAAAAAATTAACATGAAATCCTCTTCCAGTTCTACCAAATAGAGTGAAAACTGAGTCACTGAATTACCTGGTTATAACTATAACCAGGGAAGGGAAAGAGTAGCCCAACTCTGCTCTTTTGTCCTATTTCCCTACTCTTTCTCACATATGCACATGTATGTCTTGGTTATGACATTTGGTCTGCTCTCCTTGCAAAGATATATCTTCACTTTGCCTGTTTCATTATCTGATTATCTGTGAATAGCTGAGGTATATTAAATTCACATACACTGTATGACCTTGCATGAAAGAACTGAATATAATTTTAGGTGTAAGTTCCCAAAAGAAATAAAAATAAAAATCAGGGGAAGGAAACATTAAGGCCCTGACAGTCAAATCTTCAGTTGGGCCTAATTTTCACTGAAATAATGAAAGTGAATTGTGTGAGTAAAAAAAAGTCTATGCAGCATACCTACAAAAGTATTACACTATAAGGTAAGGTCTGATGAAACTTGAAAAGTTGCACAAAAATGTTTAATACTCATAGCCATCCCTTAACTGTGAAAAGGCAAAAGTACTTTGGGTGTGAATTCTCACATCCAAAAATAACTCAAACAATTGGAGAATTTTATATGTTGCTCATCAGTATGGGACATAAATTGAATTTACTAAATTGTCTTTTTTCTGACCTTTAGTCTTCTTACCCTCTCAAGAAGACCAAGCCAAGAAACTACAAACCAGAACCTTATATAAATGAACTGGTAAAGACTTGACTGAAAATATAACACAGCTGTGTGTATTTTTACACATTCTATTTTATGGCAATAGGAAGGAGGGTAACTGCTTGTATTTTCAGGGCCAGTTAAGAAGAAGAGCTTCCTAAGAGAAAATCTAGTGTATTCCAGTCCATTTATTGTGATTTAGCTTTTTATGTAATGAAAGAGGATATAATTTCAGTAGATTTAACACATTAATTCAGAATCTTTGCTAAATCTCCTGAAATATAGTCAACTGTTCTCTGGATGTTCATCTTTTTTGGTAAGGAAAAAGGTCTAATTTCTCAGACTGTGGAATGGGCAGAAGAAATCCCCCTTGTTTTAGTGTGAGTTTGGATTTTACATAATACTAATAATAATAACGAAAGAAATTTCGTAAACTAAGTAAACTACTAAGTGTAAATTACTAAGTGTAAAATGTTCAGCTCTCCATAGTACTACTTATATTGCAAAACAAAAATTGGCACATCATAGTTCGCTCACCAGACCAGAAACAGTAAAATTCAGAAGTTTTGTTAGCTTTATAACAGACATAAAAACTCCAGTGTTAATGTAAGTAAAAATTAAAGAAAGCGAAAATAACTTCATTGTGTGCAATTTGTGTTGTGCACTACCAGTGGTTATAGCAATGAAATTAAAGAGAAAAACATAAGTAAATAAGTACCACAGCAAAAGCTTGTTAATTTTCTTCTTATTAGCTGAGGCTGAAGTACCAGGCTAGATAAAGGTGCAGTTGTAATTTAGTGCCTACAGGTGTAGAAAGGTTTGAGCAGAGAAGGCAAAAAGGCACAGATTATAGATTATACAGGTGGGCCACAGAACTGTGCAGACATCTCAGCTACTGGGTGAGTGGAGAGCCTTGGTGATGTCTATGCTGTGATCAACCTGGCCATATTTATCCTCTGGGAGGAAACAGCTCCCATGTGCCCATCCTGCGACACTTAGCTGGAAAACACACTAAGTGAGCCAAATTGGGCAGATCAAGACTCACAACATCAATTGGCTCAGCTAAATTAGTATCTACAAACTGAAGTACAGCAAAGTGGGCCAATGCTCTTCACATTTCAGTAAAACATCTATTCCTTTCCAGTATCTTGGAGGCTGAATAAAAGCTGTTTATTCAGAGAGGCCTTGAGGCTGACTTTAGTTTTTTACACTTGCAAAGCAATGTCAAGAAGGCCAATGGTTCTCTAGAGGCACATTTCAAAAAAAAAATTAAAAAATAATAAAAAAAGTCAGGATTTATGCACAGAAACCTTATTATTTAAAGTGCACGATCTGCTCTAAAAGTCATTGCACAAGAAGAGCACAGAGTAAGAGGACTTAATATTTATTGTTTCAAAGATGTTGAATATCATCTGTATCTAAGCATCCAAAACATCTTCCTACAACCATATAAGATGCTTTCTTCCCTTCTTTTCTTGATAAGAAATGTGCAGCTGGACCTAATAAAAAAAATCACTGATGAAATGTCTGCCAAGAAAATACTCAAGCAATCTCTTCCTATACTTCATTTACAAGGCTGAACAAAAAGCCTTCAAAAGCAATATCTTCATATTTCTTCTGCCCAAGATAACGAGCAAGTGTGAATCTGCATATTTATCAACAACAAATGAATGTAACACTTCAAAACTTTTTTTTTAATATAGATCTGATTTGATTTTGTTTTATTTGCATTTTATTCCTTTTATGTGCTCATCAACAGTTTGGGCTCAACATCCCTAGGGAGTTCACAGAGAGGAAGAGTGCAAACTTTGGGTTAGGTAGAAGTCCTTCAGTTATCAACTGAAGTGTTGAACTGAGTGTTCAAGATACTTAGTAAGGACCTGGTTGTAGGCTGTGCAATTGCAGTGATGGTAGGTAAACAAAGAACTTTCCCACATGGGTGTTAAGCACTGATGTTATAGAAACAGCATGCCTGCAGCTTTTTGAGAGGAGATATCTAAAAAGCAGAAGTGATATAATTTGATTTTAATTTGCTTCAGGCATGCATGAGACCACATTGAAATGTTAAATCTGTGGCTGCAAATTTACACTGATATAGGTCTTTCTTTTCAGAGATAAGTTTGTTGGTTTTTTTTTTTCAGAGAGGTACCAAACGCAAGTATGAGACAGTCATGCATCAATGTATATTTGGGAATCAAAGACAAAAATTATGGTGAGACTAACTTAATTTGCATGACCCATATATAATATGATGTCTCATGAGATTTGCACTAACAAACAGTGTAAAGATTTGTCTGCTGGGTGATTATATTTCCTTCACCTTACTCTGCTTTGAGTTTATATTATGAAAAATGGACTTATGAAGAGAAATTCTGCAATTTAAAAGCTCATGAATTTGTGTGAAAATGTGGATACCCTATGCTCTCTGACATCTTTGGTCAACTTACACCAATTGTAAGAACCTTTTGCTGTTAAGAAAAAAGTAAAAAAATAAATCTGCATGACAAATGTAGAAATGGCTGATGGAAGAGACAATACCTTGGCTGATGCAGAGCAATATTGGTACAATACTGTTTGTCAATTTTTATTCCATTAGTTTTCTACAAAGAACCCTTAGTAACATGACTTTTGATCTCAATTTTAAAAAATATTGTCTCAGTTCATTTATTTTTTTTATTTTCCTTCTTGTTTCTTTTCCAGTAGCATCGTGCTTTGTAGAGTTAACAATTTGGCTGTAGAAATGGGGAGGCTTATCTGCTTAAATACAGCAGGAAGTTAGAGCTCACTAATTTTGTGTGAAACTAACACCAGTTTCACCCTCTAGTTGTGTTCTGTGCCACACCAATAAAAGATTAATTAGTAGTAGACAATATTAATCATAAGTGTTCTTTTGATGTTAGGGAGATGCGGTGCCTCTATTGCAAAGACAAGTAAATAAAACTTAATCCAAAACCCAATTAAGTTGACTGAAATATTCTTACAGGATATGTTGAATTTCATCTACTGCGTTACACCTGCTGAATAATCTCTTTTTTTGTTGTTGTTAATGTTTATCAATGAAAAATAATGATAAGGAAGAGTTATTGAGCTACCTTTGTCTGAATGTGAATCTTGCGAAAGCACAAGCATAGAAAAAAATAACATATGGTTATCTTGGATTCCACAACCACTGCATAAGCAGTAGTGAAAGTGCTATAAAATTTGCCTGGAATAAATATGTATTCTAAATTCATTTTAAAATGAATCACTGTGAATAACCTATTCGTTTAAGCAACTAAAAGAATTTTATTTGAGGTACAAATATGGTTATATATTATATATATATATATATGTATATATAGGTAGATAAAATAACATTTTATAGCTGCGATGTTAATAAAGCCATAAAAGTGAATCAGAGTTCATTTGAGATGGCTATTTTTTGTCTTTTTCTTCTCATAAAAATCAAAAAGTATCTGTGAAAAGCAACAGCTATTATTATTCAGTGGAACTACCCATTATTACAACCCTCAAAAATTTATTTTTAACTAGAGTAGTAAAGTTTAGCAATATTTCTCTGCAATCTTTTAAAAATTTCTTTATAATAGGTGTGAAGTATCTTCATGTAGAAGATACCTAAGAATTTTGCCTCATTCTACTTTAGAAGTTGTATGCTTCCCATAAATCATTATCCTTATAAAAACCCACATCATTACCACTCTGAGAAACACAGCATTTTTAACATCAGGAATGAGTTCTCCATATTATACATCTGAAAATGTACAATCGGTAAATGAAAAGGAAGGAAAATTATACATTTCTACTATTGTCATTGTAGAGGAAAATCCTTTTACTCTTTCATGAAGTTGATAAGATTTTTCTGGGAGCAGGGAAATTCTTTCCTGTTTCCTGCATTCATCAAACAGAAACAAGGAAAGAGTGTTAGTATGATATTAATAAAAATAGTCATAGAAACTTAAGAGAAAAATGGAAGCTTATAAATGTATAGATAAAATGAGAAAAAAAATTGAAAGTGATAATTGAACAAAAATAAAACTATGTAAAATTCACAGAAAATTATCACTGGTATCTTTAAACTCCCTATGGACTCTCATGATGGGAGAGTAAGAATAAGATCAGCAGTGCAGCAGCAGAAATTATATAAGGGTTAAACACTGGGCATTCTAGTAGTAAGAATACTGAAACTTCATGTAAATATTATTACATTTTTGTTAAAGCAAATGATAAGTCTCTAATGAATTTTTGAGTTCCTTCTTTTTCCAACAACAGCTCTAGCTGTTAAGGGACAAGGCATGGCTCACAAAATAGGTTGTGTGACAAGATATGTTACATAAGCATATAATGAATGGCTCACTATCTTTTTGCATGCTTTCAATTATTTTTCCTTAAAGGTGACAGTGATAATGAAGATAAATAAGATTTTTATTTTTAGACATGAGCATTCAACAATTTTCAATTAGTTTTAGTAGGTGACACACAAAGGTGAAATCAAGTCAAGATTTCAGATATGATTCTTGACTTCAAGGAGACTGGATTAGTTAATTTATAATGGATCCTATCCTGACCAAGTATTTCCTACGTCTAATCAGAAGCTGAAGACCAGAACTACACAAACACACACACAAACAAAAAGAAAAATAATACAGAGGGTGATGTGTTCCTTGCAACTTTGGTCTCACCTCAGAATGGATCCCTTTGCCCTGACCTTATGTCCAACTTTATAATTTGTTCACGGAAAACAGGGAAATTTGCTGTATCCATATCAAGTTCCAGCTGTTCACTGTTGTGCTTAAAATTGAACACAACACTGAAGCAGGCCTGATGATTAAAAATTTGGAGTCCAGTCAGGTCTTGAACTCGTTTTTTAGTTCTCCAAAACAATGGAGAGATTTTCATTTAGACTGTTTATAATTCTCTTTTTATTAATATATTTTAAAATGACAATCATGGAAAATTTTGATAGACTTGTTTGCCTTTATTTCTATGCATCATCAGATGGTAAAGGATTTATATGATATGACTTGCAGAATATAAAACCCTTTATTTAAAGAAGAATATTTACAAGGTTAGAAATTACCTTTTTTTCTTTCAACAGTCTTGTTACTTGTGTTGCTTAAGACATTGTATGATTGATTCTCGCTATACTTATTGCTTTATAAGCACAGAATAATTACCTAATAGTTTTGCTTGTGGATCATATGGTTTTAACTCATTTTGAATTAAAAAAAAAAAAAAGAAGGGAATTATGGGACTGAATTCATGTCTGGAAGTCTAAGTATTTTCTGATACTTGTTCATAGAATCACAGAACATCCCAGGTGGGAAGGGACCTCCAAAGGACTTCCAGCCCAGGCTTTTGTGGGAATGGGAACCTATATGGAAATATCTACCGCCCTCTTTAATTGCATCTTGAAATTCTTCAGGAATAGGGACGTTACCCTGTACTGCAGGAACCAGAACTTGACACAGTGCCCCACGTCTGGCCTGACTGGCACTGAGTAGCATGACCATGTCTCTGCCACTAATGATCCTGCAGATGCCCCCCAAGACAGATTTGTCTTCGCTGCTGCAGCAGCACAAGGCTCACGCGCAGGCTGTGTCCACCAGGACCATTAAAACAAGGCAGCTTCCTATCCACACTGATCATAACAAATGTTAAAAAACATCAACTGGTGTTGAAATCTGTTAATTATTAAGGGCTCCTTTCATAGAGTCATGGAATCATTTAGGTTAGAAAAGCAGTAATAATAAAATAATTGACTTCACTAACTTCACACTGTCAAGTCCACCAGGTGCCACCTCTACGTGCCTTTTAAATACCTTCAGAGATGGTGACTCAACCACTTCCCTGGGTGTTACAACCCACCCCTGAGGCGGCATAACTGAGGTTCTTGTTAGTAGGTGCATTTGAACAATTACAGTGAAATGACATTGATTGGTGTATGTGTGTATATGTGTATATATATATTGCATGTTTATTTTAGAACAATTTGATTGTAACGGAAAGGGGGTATTGAACCTTTTTTTATTATCTGTAAAAAACCAGCAATATAAAATATAAAAATATCCTTTAAAGAAATACACAAGTTAAAGAAAAGAAGAAACGGAAAACACAAGAGTAGATAGTGGGGACAAAAAATATTGCTACCTGTGAACCCAGTGACAAGACCCAGTTATTGTAATTTTGATGTTCATTGATTAAAGTGATGGTTTCAGTCCTTGTCTGTCAGGGGTGGGGAGCCCCCAAAACAAAAATTTCAATTAGTTAATACATATTCAGGTTCAGGTGGGAACACCAAGCACCTTCCCTGTGGGAAGAGTTTCATGCTGTCTGTTGCAACACTATGGAGCATGCACAGTCCTCTGGCCAGAGAGTCAGAAATTAGTCTGAGGGGTGCTTCAGGGTTGGTTTATGACCCTTTCTAGGACATAAGCATTGTTTCTCATGCCTGCATAGTTGAGCCAGCTGTGCTTTACCAGAGGAGATAAATACCCTCTGGCTTACATGTGAGTGTCCCAATATTTTTTTCCTACTCTATGAAGCAATGTTCTGAAAACCAATAACCCAGACACTTTGTACAGCAGAGCTTCAGAATAAATTGCTGTAAGGTGAGATTTATTTCCAAAATCTTGATACTTAGTGAATAATTAAGATTGACATAGGAATCAGTATTGGTGCTCACAACCATTTGTTCTTGGTTGGCATTTTTCAGTGTTGTTAATTTATATAGGAAAAAATCCTTAAACATATTTTATGAGTGATCAGTCTCTGTGTACTAGAAATTCTAGGCTTTTTGTTTGAAAATAATCTTCTTTTCCCTTATACACTGTCCGATTAAATATCCTCTGTAATCAGCTTTAAAAATGGCATTGTCCTTAGCCTTCTCTTTAAAAAAATAACTTTGAATACACTTACTTACAAGCAACCACAGCAGTAATCAATCAATCCCCCACAGGGGGATTACAGTGTACACTGCTTTGTAAATTTTTTTTTCAGTCACACAAAAGACAATATAATCATGAACAGTCACCGAGGGTTTACAAAGGACGTATTTGACCAGCCTGGTTGTACTTTGTGACTCCTACACATAGGCAGGAAGACAGTAGATACCATTACCTTAGTCTCCTTTGACACCATTTTCATGGCCCTCTCACTGGGGAAAATAGAGGCTGGAGGAATGGACTATTGTTAGACTGGAATGTAGTTGGTTACTAGGCTCAAAGGGTCATTATTAACTCCATTAGTACTTGACTGGTTAGCACCCAAATACACATGGAAATTTATGCACAACCTCCTAACAGGGATAGGACAGATTGAAAGTTATAAATATTTTTCTTGACACTACCATGGCTTATTTAATCTGTGTTGGCTGTTAGTCTTCAGGTGGAAGTTTGGGCTAGGTGATGTCCAAAAGAACCAAAGAACATTTTTATGATCTTATAATTCTATTATCTATGACTACTACACAGTGAAGATTTCAGCATTGTGAGTCAGATGCACTTCCTCTATTATTCCTTTATTATCATCAATATAAAGTACAATCTCAAAATAAAAAACTTCAAAGGTCAGTGTTCTGCTTATAAAATACTGAGAAAAACATATAATTTATTCTTTGTGAAAAATAAATCAACTACCCCATGAATTAACTTCCTTCATCCTAAAACTCTAGATCTACCAAATTCAAGTAAAATGTTTTAAAGTAAAACTTTATTTAATTTATTTTAAGGTTTACTTCATTTGCTTTGTTGTAGGGTTTCAGCCACTTTAGCTGTTAACTGAATCTCCCCATAAAAACTCCCCTCACCCCTTAGTCAGTATAAATAGCAACAGACTGTCTGATAAGGAGCAGAATGTTGTGAAGGAGGAACAAAAGGCTGAATCACTAGAGGGTCCATTAGAATACTAATGTACTTTACAGATAAGGTTCAAATAAGAACCCTTAAAAAATTAGATCCTGCCTATCATAGGAAATAATCGAAAGGTCTTATCTGGAGTTTATAGAGGGATGTTTCCATTGGTCTTGTGTGGATTTTAGTTTTGAGGGGTTTGTTTGGGACATTTTGTGGGTTTTGTTGTTGCTGTTGGTTTTGGTTTGTCTGGTTGTGGGGTTTTTTGGTGGGGTTTATTTGGGTATGTTTAAAAAAAATTATTTATAAAAATCAATAGGCTATGCTGCCTAGAACTCATTGTATAGATATAAAGAGTAATTTTTTGCCAAGTGTCTTGCAAAAACTTTCTGAAGATTTTGTGTCTTTTGCCTCACTGAAAACAATGACAAAGGGTATTCTTTCAGAAAGTAATTTTCAAGAGTAGGACTGACTCAAACTCTCTATCAATGAAAGCATCTAGTGTATGGCTTGGTAACCTATGGCATTGTTTCAGGTAAAACAATAGTCACCATTAGCCTCAAAACCATTGTCCCTTATTTTTCAATTTGGCTCTGCTACTGAATAAATAGGAGGATCTATTGTTCATCCTAGATATAAAATGGTGTTTGCATTGGTCCCTTAGGCATTTGTACTTATGAAGAAGTGCAGAGGAAAGTCTAAAATGAAAGCCTTCAGCAGCTTGAAAATTAAACTGAGATTTGCTGTTCAAGTTACCAATAAGGAATATTGCAGGAAGGAAATTAATATGCATTAAACATAGGACATTCTCTGCTCTCATGGAAATATTGCCTGCTTTAGCAGTGGGTAATCTAACTATCATTCATATCTCATGTACTTATAAAAGAAGAAATAAATGAAAAAAAGATGGCAATGCTTTTGTAGAAGTATGTAATTCTGCTTATTAGGAGGAAGATGTCTACAGCTAATTTGTGTTTACCAGAACAAACAGTTGCAGATATCGACATAAGCACAGTGAATTTCACAATAACAACAAAATCATGTTTGGAAGGAAATGTAATATTTTATTATATTCATTTATTTTAATTAATTTTTGACAGAAGGTCACCAATGCAATTTATAGTTTTCTATTATTTTCTGTTTGTCTTACTGCCTCTATTTTAAGAAAAATTAGTTTACCTTAACAGGGACTTTGTGCTGCCTAGAATACATTAACTGAGCATTAGGTTGTATTTCAGCAGTTGAAATGGAGGGAAATTACCTATCTCTGTGCCATATTTATCTTGTCAAGAAACCTTCTCATATTTTTACCTCTTAGTTTCATTACTATTTATTTATTTATTTTATTTATTGTTTATTTATTTAACTTAGGAAGTGATTGGATTGTGAAAGACAAATCATACTGAGAATCAGGATTTTAGGGTGGACTTTGTTATAAGAATGATACTATTGTAAATGAAACATACTGTAGTAATTGAAACTTTGAAGCAATATATTAAGATGAAGGATCTGTTAAGCCTAGATCTGGAGTAAATGGAAGTAACATTTATCTTAACCATTTGATTAACCATTGATTTTGTCAGGCTTTAGATTTAAAACCAGCAAGTTTTTACTTGACAGAAACAACTATAAGAAATCATTCCAAGTGACAGAACTGAAGTGTTAGTTTAAGCCCTGCAACGCTACTGATATTCAGCAGCCTGTTTTTAAAAATGTTGCAATGCTGCTAGCACTAATCTGAAACCTCCCTCAGCTGCTCTCTGACATAAAACTTCCTGTGAAAATCAAAGCTTCACACCACTTCAACACTTGTTGCACTTATAGAGAAAATTAATAATCGTAAATTATTTCATGCTCTGGAATAAAATAGACTGAATTTGGTTCTTTGGGTTTTTGGTTTTGCTTTTTTTTTTTTTTTTTTCTTTTTTTTTGGGGGGGTGTTAGGTTTATTTTGGGGTCAGGGGTTTGTTTTGGTTTTTTGTGTTTGGGTATTTGGGGGCTATGTGTGGGTTCTTTTTTCTCTTTTATTTTCTTATTATTTTCAAAAGGCACAAAGAAGCAGACCTTCCTAATTTTGTTCAGTGCTCCCCTTGCCATAATGGACTATGGAAAGACTAAAAGGTACGACATTCTCTTTCAATCAGTGTTATAAAGTTTTTCTGAATTGATTCTAACCTTAACATTACAATTATTACTACTGTTGCTACTAACTTGCTGTATTTAAAGTCACTAAGAATGGAACCATTCCTATCTCTTTCAGATACAATTTTGAATTGACAAGTCTCCAAGTTGACTGATCAAAACCTACCTGAAGCCTTTGTTTTCCTTTCATTATTAAAATATATGCAAAGCATATGCTTTGGGGAAATGATACTTTAATTTTCAAAGGTTTGTTCCTTTTAATTAAGTGTAATGCTAACCAGTACATATGCGTTATAGTAATTGAATACTATTGTTCTATTGTATATTGTTGTCTATACCTTCATTTCAATCATACTAGTAAGGTCACTATGTGATCAGAAAAAAGGTCTTGGCTAAATACACTCACAAAAATACTGGTGTGTTTTTCTCCACACAGTGAGAACATCAAACTCTCTTAAGGTATCTGAGAGGTCTGCATTAACACCATTAACGATATGTAAACACCATTAACGATACACATTATGAGACATTAAAAAAAATACTTAAGGGCATAGTGGAAATAAAAGCTACACCTGATTGTAACACAACTATTTTTGCTAGCAAAATATAAAGCATCAAATATGGGAAAAATTTATGGTACAGCTTGAGTCATAATAAGAATTTGATTTGGTAGAATATTGGAATTCATTACCACATGAGAATTGCCTTCCTTGGAGGTGAAGGGAGGAAGCAACTTCACGCTAACAATAAGGGAGTTAAATCAATGGTTCATGCAGATGTGTGTGTGTGGCTGTGTCCATAGTAGTGTATGAATGCATACACACATATATAAATCTCCAGTGGTGTATATGCTTAAGTTTTTGCAAACCTACTAAGCTAATGTGGTAAGGAATTTTATGAGAACTATTTATTTTCTTGTTTCTGTCTAACGCTTGCAGTTTCAATAAGATAAACAGAGGTATATGGGGTTCTTATCATTGAGAATAAATATGGTATAATTGGAAATTTAAAGTTTATTTATTATCTTGTGTATCAGATATCTGTTCATATCTCCATTTGGATAGAATTATTTGAGATAGTAGTAACCCAGTTGCTGTGTTAGAAACTTTTATTTGACTGTGTTGATAATTTTAGCATCAAATAATATCAAACACATGTGCATTCAAGTGAGTGACAGCAATATCAAGTGCTTCATTTAAAACACCCTGCTAATTAGAAAATTGATTGATTAGAAAATTGATTCTTTTGCCAATTTAAGAGAGCTTTACTGTTACAAAAAAGTTCATCTTAAAGAAAAACATATTGTACGGCAATAGGAAATAATTATTAAATTGTCAACAGTTCCTGTACTCTACCTAACAAGAACTTAATATATGCAATATATTGACAATTATAGCATATTAACAATTATAGCAACATGAGACGATTATTGATTTAACAAACTGAGATTTGAATGTTGCTTAAAATGGGGATGGGCAAAAAATGAGTGATATACATACAAACGTACAGAAAGTAAAACATATTTTTGATAGTACACAACAATTAATTACATTTTAAGAAATAGTAAAATGACATTAAAACATGCCTGAGATTTGCCAGCATGGAAATAAAAGCAGAAAATTACAGATGAAAACTTGGAATCTTCGACTTTTTGCAGGAACATGTAGCCACAATTCAACAAAAACCAAGAAAGAAAGATGTCTAAAACCTCATTCTAGTTCACTAGTAATTTCCCTGTGTGAGAATAAATTTATGAAGCTAATTGGAAAAGCAAGCAAGATATGTAATACTGTTGTAAAATTCATGTTGGTGAGAAATTTCATTATCTATTAAAAGGACGCAGGGAACAGCTGGCTGTAGTTGCTGCTATGTTGCTATTAAGGCTGCTTTAAATTATATTGTGATAAAAACATTTTCCATACCACTAGCATGCACATGTTTAAGGCAATAAAGGCTAAATTAAAAAAAAAAAAAAAAAAAAAAAAAAAAAGAAAAAAGCATTTTTCTACAAGCAGATCAGGATGCTAACTTTATCTGAAAAATTGCCAATTCAAAGGAGTCCTAAGTTTTAAAAGTTTATAGGATCTCGCTGGAGTTAACTTTCCCTTTAGCAAATTTTATAGTACTGTCATTTGTTATTTGCAACAAGAATGCTGTGAATGACACACCAGTATTGGCCAACTACTGAGCTGTGCCTGCGCGGCATCCATTCCGTCTGTTGAAACCTTACCAAGGCTGGTAGGCTGGGTGTGGGAAAGAGACTTGGAGGGCACCAAAGGGATATTCCATACCGTATGGTGTTGAGGTCAGAAAAAAGACACAAGAAGAGACAAGGAGAGAGGGGGGTGTTTCTTATTAAGGTGATTATCTTCAGAAGCAACTGCTACATTTATTGCAGCTCCACTTCCCAGGCTGGACATCACCAGCTGAATGGAAATAGGCCATACACCTTTCTGTTTTGTTTTGTTTCCATGCATGTATTTTGCTTTTTCTCATTCAACTACCCTTATTGGTATCCATATGGTTTTCACCTTATTTTCTCTTCCACGTTCTGCTCAGGAGGGGCAGTTAGAAAATGTCTTGGTGGACACTTGGTGCCCTTCCAAGGTTGTTGCCGTGCCCTCTGAGTGACCACTCAGTGCCTCCCTGCCAGCTCAGACACAGCGACCGCAGGGGACACTCTCCTGCACTCTGGAGTGCAGGAAGGCAGCTAAGGGTTATGAGCAATTTCCCAGAAGAGATGCAGCCTACAGTGGCAAAGGAAAGGGAGTAGGCAGTTCAGAGGGTATAAATCCAAGGTTTATTGGAAGCTCCAGGGAACCCATTGCTTCAGGGGACACAACTCTGAAACGTCCCTGATGAGCCTGGATCAGCTTCTTTTATTGGGGGGGTGGAAACAGGGGAGGGGTTCGCCTGTCCACCAAGGAAGGGATAGAGGGGAGTGGAACATGAGATAACTGACAAACACAACAGCATATCAGGGAACTTAAAAGGAGGGACCACTGACCCTTGACCAATCACTCAATGCCCTTCGTGGAAGCTTTTAGAGAAAGGGGATGGGGAGCCGAGTGAAAGACAGGGTGACAGGGAGGGGATTTGAGCATTGACAAGGAAATTTCTAGGGATTCGGGTGGAATAGGGATGGGATTGACATCTGGGGAAAGGGGAGGCAACCTAGGGCAAAACCACCAAAGGACGGGGGAAAACAGGAACAAGCCAAAGAACACAATACAAAAACTAAACACAACGCAACACAGGGTGAACACACCACAGACCTTTCCTGGCACTCAGTGTGAGGCAGTTTTGAATTTGTAAGTCTAATAGTTATTAATTGGCAGACTTGTGAGAGGGTCACAGAGTTTAATTGCTGCACTGCTCAGCTCTTTATTTTGCTGAGGTTGGAAACACACTAATAAAAACAATGGCTATGTGCCTGTCATTGATGTCTAACTGTGCTGGGGTAGCTTTGTTGTGGGCAGGATAAGAGAACATATCCTGCTCCTAATTCAGGATTGATGTGGGTATTTTTGATGCTCAGGTTCCTGAGGCCTGTGATCACTTTTAGGTGAATTGTTTGATTTTGTTAACACTGTCAGCTTCTTGTCAGGTTCTTGAATCCAATGTCGTCGGGGAGAGATGAAAGCAAAACATGACACTAGGCAGGTGGTCCCTGTGTAGCAGAGTATGTGGAAGTATTTGGGTGGGTGTTTCAGGCAGTTATCACCTCTCACATAGAGTGGGATTTGATATCTGAACCAAGCTAATAACTTCAGTGAATTCATCCACCTAGAAATACATAGAAGAGTATTGCCCTCTGCAATAAAACCCAGCAGCTTCTAGCACCATTTTGAAGCTTGGCCCAGGTCTATTGAGCTACAGTTCAATATTATTGGAGTGGGTGGTTACGATAGAGACCCAGACTGTCTCTGAAGACAGGTAGACCAAGACAGTGATCCAAACTACAACTAAGAACATCAGTTGAGACAGGGACCCAAACCTGAACTACAGGTAGTGAAAAAAATAGTACTGAAAAAAAAACCAGTGGGCATGGAGGTGGATGGATCCATACAATATATGTCCTTTCCCGGGGACCATGAAATTAAAAAAAGAGGAAATAAAAGAGAGAATATAAAGAGAAAATAAAAAATATATAAAGAGAATATAAAAATATAAAGAGAAAATAAAAAAGAGGCAACCATTTGCAGTCTCTGGGGGATTTTTCTGTCAAGCATGAAGGCAAGACAAAACAATCAGCAGGACTTGCTCAGTCTTCAGTAATCCCATACGGCCAGTGAAAGAAAAAGAAAAGGGGAGAGCGAACCAGCCAAGGAACAGCAGTGAACCCCAGTGAGCAGTGCTGAGCCATGATGCAGTTATCCCAAAATCTACCCACAGAACCAGAGACCGTTGGTTGAGTCCAAACTTTCTTTGCCACTTTTTGGTGGAGACCTTTTCGTGACCTGGTTGGAGAGCCCATCCAGAGCGCCTCCTACTGCCTGCCCCATTTGAGGTGCTGCCAGGCGAAGTCCCCCTGGAGACGAGGCTTCCCCGCTCCTGGCTGCCCACTGCAAGTGGCACCGGCGCAGGCCCTATCCCCTCATGTCTTTGACAGCCCTGACAGCCAAGGCTGAGGCAAACTAAAGTGGCTGAGTCAAAACTAGATGGGCTCCTAACATATGGCTAAGTGCTGTTGTGCCACACACACCAGAGCTTTAACAGGATGTCTGCCAAGTTGTATGCTACAATTCATGCTGTCTATATGTTTTTCGAAATTCCTTTGGCAGCTGAGTGTAAGCTATTATTTGCTTTCACACGAAGCAGTATCTGATGCACCTGGAACTAGCTGTCCGAGGGGTTTAAGCACAATCCCACCACTTGCCATGGAACAATTCAACCTGAACTGGAACAGAAGAGTCAAAACAGCAAAAGGAAAACACTCAACAAAACCCACCAGTTCATTAATCTGCTCTTACTTTTTTACGATCTGACTTCAAAAATGTCATAGACATCAGGCTTTTGTCAGGATCTTAAAGGTTACTACCCATTTATCCAAAAAGGATATTCATATGTTGTGCTGGTCTTAGCTGGGATAGCGTTGACTTTCTTCACAGAAGCTGGTATGGATCTCTGTTCTGGATTTGTTCTGGAAACAGTGTTCATAGTTCAGGATTTTTGTTACTGCTGAGCATTGCTTATATGACAACACACAACTTTTTTCGCTTTTATTCTTTTGATTTTCTTCCCATCCCACTGAGGGTGCATGAGTAAGCAGCTGTGAGAGCCTTGGTTGCTGGCCATGACAGACATACCTACAAAAAAGTTCAGTGTGACAGAAGAAGCAGGCACAGAGATCTGAGCAAGGTTGTTATGCTGCTTTCTCATAGCCTGAGATAGCACAATTGGTTTTTCACAGCACTTCAAAAAGCAGGTAGCTATAATGGATAATTCAATACTGTGGGTTTCAGTTATGCCTCTTTCTTCATTTAATCTTAGTAATATTAGTTGTTATAAATGTGTTGACACATGTTGCCAATGATTTATGAAACTAAGATATAACAGATGAAATTCTGTGTGTATAAACATTACATCAAGTGAAATCATGCAGTTTGAAGTAAGAATTGGAATTAAAAAAACATACTAAAAAATGAATATGTAAAAAAGTAAGTATCTTTTTATGTTACCTTTCCTACACCCAAGTTTTAATCTTCCATAGAAGCTTCTTATACAGTAGCTCCTAGCTATTCTGTGAGGCAGTCCAGTAGGAAACGAGTAAGATTTATTTCCAAATTTGCTGGTTTAAGATTCCAGTATTCATTAATGTCTGGAGTTCAAGCAGACCAAGAGAGCATCTATTAATCATTCTTTATAGGAGTTTTGGGCTTACATGGCCTGGGTTTTGGTATCAGGGGTTCACAGAGGTGGCTTCTGTGAGAAGCTTCTGGATCCTTCCACCATGCCAAATCCTGGTGCTTCCATAGATGTACATGCTGCTGGCCAAGGCTATGCCAATTAGAGATGGTGATAATGCCTCTTTGATAACAGATTTAAGAAGAAATCAAAACAAAAATTTTTGTGCAGTTTTATTATCCAGAAAAGAGCGGAGTGAGAACATGTCAGATGGAGAACTTTGCAGACACCAAGGTCAGTGTATAAGAAGGGGAAGGAGGTGCTCCAGATGCCAGAGCTGAGATTCCTCTGCAGCTCATGCCGGTGAAGCAGCTGTGCCACTGTAGCCTGTGGAAAATCATAAGGATGCAGATCCACCTGCAGTCTAGGGAGGAGCACGACACTGGAGCAGGGGATGACTGGAGGAGGCTGTGATCATGTGGGAAACCTGTGGAGAGAGAGGAGTCCTGTTCCCATGCTGTTACAGCCTGTATTTAGAGGACTGCACCCCATGGAAGAGTGACCCATGCTGCAGCAGTTTTGGGAGGGCTGTTGTCTGTGGGATGGATTCATATTGCAGCGGTTCTCAGAGAGCTGCTGTTCTTGAGATGGATTCACATTGAAGAACTGTCTCCCATGGGAGGGACTGCACAGTGCAGGAGGGGAAGAACTCCTCTCCCTGAGTGAACAACATTCACTCTCTCTTTGTGCCACTGGGGTAGGAGGTACAGCTGGAAAGAGGGAAGGGTAGAGGCTTTTTGAGGTTTATTTTACTTCTCATTACCTTGCTCTGATTTTGTTAGTAGTAGATTCACTTCATGTCTCTAAGTTGACCTTGTTCTGCCCTTAATGGTATTTGGTGAGTGATCTTTCTTATCTCAACCCAAGAACCCTTAATTAAATTTACTCTCCTCTGTTTAGAGGGAAGTGAGAGAGCAATTTTCATGGGTGCCTGGCATCCAGCTAGTGTCAACCCATAACAACAGGGTCGAGAAGCCAGTGGTCCCTTTTGTTGTACTGACTTAGGGCATACTAATCTGGAATGTACTAGAGGAGTATCTGACCACTCTAGTAGGAGTTTCTTCTTTATCATGAAGTTTTTTCAGAGGTATGCAGCAGTGTATGACTTCGCATGGCAAGGTTTTGATAGTGGGGCGGCTATAGGGTTAGATACTCTGGGAAGATGCTGGAAGCTTTTCCCATGTCTGATGGAGCCAGTGACAGTTCTCCAAGATGGACCCACTGCTGGCCAAGGCTGAGCCCATCAGATATGGTGGCAGAGCCTCCGGGATAAAATAAGAAGTGAAAAAAATTATTACACAAAAGTTATCTCAACAAGCGAATAGTGGAGTAATCAGATGCGAGACAAACAGCCCTGCAGATACGAAGGTCAGTGGAGAAGGAGGGTGAGAATGTGCTCTAGGCACCAGAGCTATCCCACTGCAGTCCTTGGAAAAGACTTGGGGATCCATTGTTGTCTCCCTTCTGCCTATGCAGTTCCATGGCAGACCAGAGATCCACCTGCAGCCTGTGGAAGACCCCACTCTGTATATACCCCACAGAAGGGATCCAAGATGGAGCAGCTGGTGAAAAGCTGCAGCCCGTGGGAAGTACTCACATAGGAGAAGTTCATGGAGGACTCTCTCCCATGGGAGAAACCCAGTGCTGGAGCAAGGTAGGAATGAGGGAGTCCTACAAATGATGGGGAGGGGGAAGTAGAGGCAGTATGTGAAGAAGTGATTGAAGTCCCCATTCTCCATCCCTTCATGCTACTGGGAGGAGAAAATAGAAAATCAGGAATAAAGTTGAGCCCAGGAAGGAGGGAAGGATTAAGACAAAGTGTTTCTAAGATATATTTCCTTATTATCCTCTTCTGATCTGATTGAAAATAAATTAATTTCCACAAGTTTGGAGGGTCTGTTTTGCCCATGATATTAATTTGTGAGTGGTTTCTCTCTGTCTTTATCTCAGCCCATGAGTATTTTGTTGTATATTCTCTCACCTATCCACTGAGGAGAGGAGTGTTAGGGCATCTTTGGTGGGCACCAGACATCCAGACAAATTCAAACCAGCACAAAATTATAGAAGACTAATGTATACTAAGAATCAATTTTAAAAAATCTATTTTCTTGCTGTCATTCAACTAGTCAAGCACATTTTTTTTTTTTATTAAGAGAATCCATCAAAAAGTCTGCCTATTAATGTGTCTGAGTCATGACTGTAAATGTGTCATGATTGTAGGGGTGCTACTAAGCTGAAGTGGAAGAGATTCTGCCTTAGATTATTTATTCAATATTCTATTATTCTTTATTTATTTTGACATACACTCCAAATTTAGAATCAATTCATATGCTTTTAAAGTGTAAATATTAGAGTCTCTCAATGTTGTATGACTAAAATGGGAAAATTTGACATTTTACAACTTTGGAAAGGATTAAATTTTGATGTATCCATTATTTCTCTTGAGGTAATGTTTTAGGAGTTCTTGATAAGCCCATATTTAGGAATTTCTTTTTTGTGTATGTGCAAGTGGATTTCTTTACAGTCCTAACAACTTCGGCACATTGCATGTGAAGGATTTTCCATGTAACTGCTTCCTAGAAAAGCAATTCACTCAATACTGAGTCTGAGCTAAGAAACCAGCCTCAGCATGATAGTGAGGGTTTGGTGAGACTCTTGAGTTAAATTTTGAGGGTTTTCTTGAGAGGAGGAGTATCTTGGATGACTAATGGAACAAAGAAGGGGCCTGTGACACAGTCCAGATTTGTGACTAGGCTTGCATTCACAAATTGCCAACCTTGTAATGCAACCTTTTCATTATATGCTTTTAAAAAATAGTATAATAATACAGATCATTTATGTTACACTCACAAACTTTGAAAGAAGTAAAGAAATCTTACCTGAATATAATTTATTTCTGGGATTCTAACTCATTAGCATTGCAACTACATATTAGGAAATTATGACCTAGAGATATACTAACAATAGTATCAATCTTGGCTTCCTGAAACAAGAGTTGAAACTGTCCTTTTTCTGAACAGATTTCGTCCAATGTCTATGTTTTTTTTTCTTTGGGACTTCTTTTTTCTACTTAAGCATTCTATTTCTACAAACTGCTATGTCCCTGAGAGGGAAAAAATATGTAATTTCAACATATGCAAGCAATAACTTATAAAAGAAATTATCAGTCATGAAATAGTGCAATTTGTGAGTATAATGAATCAGTCATACAGAAATTACTATATAAAATGGTTTTAAAAATTATAGAACAAAATAAGTAAATGCTGGGCCATGAAGTATTGGGTAATCTCTTCAGACATGCATAAACACATTATCCCTGGTCATAGCCAAGCATGATTCATGGTAAAAGTCTTAATCCAGATTTCCAGGGAATGGTTATTTGACTCATGCTCCTGTAAACAAAACAAAAATACAAACTGAATAAGTAGTAAGAAATAATTCAAAGTGCTAAAAAAGAACCTCAGTTCATATTACCGTCGTTTTTAAAAGCTTATATTTTGCTGTATTCAAATGGTTCATAAAAATGCATGTTTTGAGGAAGCAAGTCATACAGATTTTCTTATGAGCTGAATCACAGAAAAAGTGTATTTGAAATATTTTGGTCTTATACATGCATTGTTTCCATTCTTGCAGGAGAACAACTGGAGATCAACATGTTTTACAGGAGATCAACATATTTTAAGATTTTTCCTCTCTAAGTATTCTCTTTTTTTGTGTCAATATAAACATTATTAATTGGCTGTAACTTTTAAAGTTGTAAATAAAAGTACACAAATCATTCTTTTTCACATAGTGTTATTGTATTTAAATCTACTGGAGATCAAGCATAAGAATGATCAAGAGAGGAACGAAAATGAAAAAATACTCCATCTTCCACAATTTCAATTGAAAAATTTTCATCTTAAGTAACAAAGTGATTAATATCTAAATAGAACGTACATAACTTGAAAATAATTATTTAGTAATTAAAATTTTCAATAAACAAATTCTTAAGCAGAAGTTTCACTTACTGAGAAGGTTTAATTGTATAAAGTTATTTACTGAGCTTATATATAAGTTATTCTTCTACAAGATTTTCCAGCTGATTAAGGCAATGAAATCTGCAACTTTTGCATACTTCAGTTGGATCTCACATTTTTAATATCTGCTTATTTGTCAGTGGAACAGTTACAGAGGGTTCTTTTCTTAAGAGCAAGTAAATTGACTGGAATATTATATACAGTAGAGAACACTCATACTCTTACTGTTTCTGAAGAGATTAACAAATGTCAGTTTTATTAGTTAACTAATAGCTAAGGCTGTTTTCCAAGCATAAGCACAGGGCATGATGAATCATTCTTTATCCATTTATACAGAAGATAGCTTTTCTAGATAAGACTCATATTGCTCCAGAGTGCTTGAAATATTAATCAGGGCTAATGTGTACCCAGTTCTATGTCTAAAATTATGAGCGTAAAAAACATTAAAAAGTTAAAAAAGCTGAAAAGACTACCAATCTTAATAAGGAATGATGATCTAATTGGAAAATGAAAAAGAAATCCTCTTGAAAGGCATGGGGAAAAAACTGGAAATGTAGGGACTCAGAATTACTGAAAGAGTGCTTAGTGTTTAAGGATTACAGTTTACATTGCATTTTGCATGGGATTACATGCACAAGTTTACACTATCTTAAGCAGTGAGGTATCTTTAAAATAAAAATAAATTGGAAGAGCACGGCTGACTAGACATCCCAGACAAAAGATGTGTCATCTTCAGTCTTTCTCATACATCCTGAGAGGAGACATTGTCCTGAAAACCTTTATGTCAGTATCTGAAGATACTGTTCATGTCTTCTAGATAGCTGAAGGTGAGCAAGTTACCTATCAGAAAAAATGAAGAAATTTGGAAAGTTTTATAATAAAGGAGAAAAAACCTTGTACAAGAACTCTATGGCTTTTTGGAGATGTTAGTTTTAACATTTTAAAAAATCAACAACCCAAACAAAATTTTCATATAAACATATAAAAAAATAAATTGAAGGAGCCAGAAATACAGTTGTGCAGTCCTTCTGAATCTCTAATGTGGCATCAAAGTTGAGTGTCAGAGCCTGAAAAGGAAGATTTTGAGAATTCTGGGATGACAGAGCAAAAGACCAATCTATGTGGCTCTGGAATTGGCCAGAAGTTGAAGAAAAGCAAAGAGAATGGCAAGCTTGTTTTTATGATTATGTCTCTTGAAAACCATAAATTCTAGGTTCTGTCCTAAAATTCTTCTTTTTAAACACCTAAGACATGATCTGGTATCTGTCCCAAAATAAATTCTTTTATAGTACAATAATTAAATGTTCACAACAAAGTAACATTTCTAAGGTGTATCTGAAAGAGCATCCTAGAGAGATCTCTTTTTTTCCCCTATTTGTGCTGGAGAACCTTGAAAGAACATGGAAATATTTATGATAAAAAAGGGCAGATTTGGGTAACCTGGGAGGATTCGTAATCCTTTGGATCTCAAGTTGTTGCATTTGGAAATGATTGCCATATAATTTCTTCTTTTTTTTCTTCCAACCTGTTCATACACTTAACTCAGGTTAAAGTGAACCCTGTTCATCCAGATTTTAAAAAAATAATCATTTTCTTTTAGGATTTTTGAAAAAATGTTTTGATATCACGTAGTAGGAGAATGTTGTGGCATGTGGCTGTAAATAATTCTGCTTATGTTTCATTATATTTTCTAAGTACATTTACTAAATTTTGAAGTTCACTGATTCTCTGAGATAAAAAGGATTTTTAGCTAGAACCTATACAAAGGTTTTGCATTAACTATTTTTTTTCTTTTTTTACTTTGAGATATGTTTTCAGAATATCTTGTTTGGTGAACCAAATTACTTCCTTTTGTACACTGGACCAATCTCATTCAATTTTTGGATACAGGCAAATTAGGGACAAGACTTAAGTGCAAAAAGTCATAGTATGGTGAGACTAATTCCAGCTAATGATATCTGACTTGCCACTTATTCAGCTGATTATCCATTTATCATTTTATACTTGAGCCTTACTTTATCTCCAGAATATTTGGAAGCTGCATTGATAAAAAAGGGGGGGGGGGGGAAAGAAGATAATTGATTGTGCTTCAAAATGGATCATTGCAAATCATATTTTAAATAGCCTTTCTTTAAATATATTAAGTAATGTTTTATTCTGTCAGTTTTTATCAGTGTAAAAAATGTCATAGCATATGTACTGTATTCCAAGTATTTTTCTTTAAGTCCAGTACTTCTAGTCACAGTGTATTTCCTTACCCACTGTAATCCCTGTGTGCACATGCTTATTCCTTACACATATTTTTTTTGCTAATCTCTTGAGAACATACATAATAATAAAATTCCATATGAGAAATCTTGAATATAGAAATCATTGTGTGTATGATGTGTATTGGGTGTTTGGCAACTATTTTGTGTAATTTTTGACCTTATTTTTTTTGATTTTTTGTATGGAAATTCACATAATCAGGCTATCATTTTGGCCATTAGATTTTCTCTTTCTCATTTTTTCTAAAATAAATGTGATTCTTAATAATTTTTTCCTGCAGGCATGATATTTTTCACTTTTCTTTTAGCTTTATTCAAGCTTTGTTTTCTCCTCATTGTTCTGGTGAGTCAGATTTTCATATTTTAAAATGTTAGATTTTCTTAAAGGAAGCAAGCATATTATAGTAATTTTAAATGTCATTACAAAACATGAACATGTTTGGACCCTAATCAAGCATTTTTATTTTCAATTTTATGTGTCACTGTTTCAAGAGGAGGAACAATGACCAAAACAAATGTTTGGGCTCACTACATTTTAGCAGCGGTAAGATTAAAGGATTTAGGGTGACAATACCATTTATGATGGTAATGTCAGATACCAGTAAAAGAATTAAAAGTAACTGCTGTTCACAATATATTTAGAAAGTGTTGTTCTGACTTGAGGACTCACCAGTTCTGTGGACTTGCTTGCTTCATTGTTATTTCCTACCATCCTGTGTAGGCAGTGTTTAGTGACTCAGATGATTTCAAGAGAACTTCTTTGAATGACCAGTGTAGAAAGTCAGGGCCGAACTGAAAAATTTGGCATGGAGGAAAGATTTTTTCAGTCCAAGCTCTCATGAATCCAGCTCCATTTCTCTTAAAAAAAAAAAAAAGAATAATTTTAAGAATTCCTTCTTTATGAAAGTGGAATTTTTAATTATTCTGAATAAAACACATTATTGAGAAAATGAGTGAGAAAATTTTAACAAATACAAAACCAGGAAGAAAAAAAGTAAAAAGGAAATTGGGATGACCAGTCAATTTTTGACATTTGTCAGAAAAATGTTCAAGGGGGAGGATTTGCCTATGGGTTTAGACAGCTGCTCAGTGTACAGGAGACCTGTATTTACTCAAGATCTCTGTCCACACACACGGGAAGAGGACTGTAATCATCAGACTAGCTGGTATTTAGGGCTGGATTACTCTATCTATTGTATTAAAATTGTTCTATTCTGGATACTATTCAATTTTTTATGTATTATTTTAATACTTACTGGACTAGAGACTTGCACACAAGTATCTTAGCTGACCTTCCTGGAAGAGATTGAGGCTTTTCTTGTTTGTAGTTTCGTGTGGGTTTTTTTTTTTTTTTTGTAGTATATCATATTTGGAAATAAAATTCAATGCCTTAAAAATGAAGAAGCAGAAGCAACAGCAAGTCATGCTACTTTCTTAATGTCACTGAAGCATGCTAATCCCACTGAACAGCCTGTCGGAATGCCAACACCTCCAGAGACTTTGGCTTAATGCAGTTGATTTGATTCTAGAACATACTGGGCAAAACTCAAAAGGTGACATTGAGAAATACCTAACAGGAAATCCAAGATCATGCATATGGTCAAAAGTACACAGAATAAAGACAGAATGCTACATAAGCAGAATGTTAGTCTGCTCCACCTTTTATTTCCACCTCCTGCCTCCAGTGTTTTATTACTTCTAGTGACCAATTTAAATTCTTATTTGTTTTAAATTAGTAACTTGCTCTTATCTTGCCAGGGCGGAAAAACTTTGGTCTCGGTGAAACCATAGAGGATGCAAGCATTTGATTACTTTACACCAAGTATTAAGTACAATTCCTTTCAAGATCAGTAGAATGTCCCCAGTGGTGCCTGATCCTGGTCCTTTCTTCGGTCTTCCCTGTTAGGAGGTCAGCTATTACGAACATGTGGCTTAACTTTCACCTCCTCCCTGCAAGAATGTTTACTCTAAATCCAAAACCAGCATCATTTGTTTCTTCTCCTCAACTCCTAATGAAGTCTCCAACGAGGCAGTGAGGGGTGAATAGTATCAGTGTGGGTAGTCATTCATCAGTGTACAAATATCAGGTTTCTCTCTTACTTTTATTTTAGCGGTATGTGGAGATTGTATCTGAATAAGAAACATTCTCAGGTCAGCCAATAGATGGGGCTACAGATTCTAGGTTTTTAATGGAATTTTCAGCTTTGCTTTTGTTTCTCACGGTTAATAAAATTATGATAATTTCTCCTCATTTCTATCAGATATATTTCCTTCTGGCTAGTGAGTATATTAGTTCAAGGATTTATTTTGTCTAGCTTCTTTGTTTGTTTTTTTTTAATAATAAGACATCCTGATAATAGACTGAAATATATTTTTTGTATTTAATCTCCTTAACCAGATCTGCACTATAGAATAAAATTGACTTCTGAAACTACCCACAATATTATTTTTTAACTTGGTATAATCATATCTTTCTTCTATTAACTCTATGAATCCCACACT